GGGCGGCAGGAGAGGTCTGCGCGCCATGTGGGACCCTCCCTGGCGGCCGGGGATCGAACCAGCGCTGCAGAGGCTGTGGACAGCTTCGCAGCCCAGCACTCAACCGCTGCGCCACCAGGGGAGGCCCAAGTTCTTGTATAAATAATAAATAAATCTTTAAAAAAAAAAAAACTCAACATTTGAGTTAATCTATGTGGCCTGACCTTGAATAAAGAAGCCCAGTTAGGGGCCTCCCTGGTGGTGCAGCCAGTTGAGAGCAGTGCTGTGAAGCTGTCCGCAGCCTCTGCAGCGTGGGTTCCATCCCCGGCCAGCCAGGGAGATTCCCACATGACGCCGCAGACCTCTCCTGTCGTGTCCAATGCTCCCCTCAGCAGTGCTTTCGATCTGTCTGCCTGTTCTGGCCCCCACTCTGTCTCTGGTGAATCCTCTCACCCTCCCGCGCCTCTGGCCTGTACCCCAGCTCTTGTATAAATAAAAAATAAATCTTAAAAAAAAAAAAGAAGCAGCAGCCCAGTTAGCGCTGCCTCTGGCTGCACAGAGGCCGGCTGTGAGGCAGGGTGGCTGAGGTGAGCATGCTGGACCACAACGCTGGACTCAACCCGGCCCCACCGCTGACAGCATCGTCACCACGGGCAGTGAGCCGCCAGGTGCTTCTCTCTCCTCACCTGTAAAATGGAGGTTATACCACCGCCAACTTCAAAGTGCTGTGTGGACTAGATGAGTGATGTAAAATGCTTACAACAGTGCCCGGCACAAAGCAAGCACTGGTAAAAATTGGCTAAAAAATCATGGTACAGGGCCTCCCTGGTGGCGCAAGGGGTTGAGCACCACACTATGAAGCAATACACAGCCACTGCAGCATGAGTTTGATCCCCGGCTGGCAAGGAAGCAACCCACATGGCGCAGCAGACCTCCCCTGCCTCGCCCACTGCTCCCCTCAGCAGTGTATTTCGTCGGTCTGCCTGTTCTGTTCCCCACTTTGTCTCTGGTGAATCCTCTCACCACCCGCATCTCTGGCCTGTACCCCAGTACTTGATGCACAAAAATAAATTTAAAAAAAATCATGGTACAGCGAAGGATTCCAAAACAAAATTGGGAAACCACCGTCACAGATCAAAAAAGGTAACTGCACTTTGCAAATTCTTTGCAATCAGTTATTCTTACATGAGGAAATATTTCTACGTTAGTGTAGTGGGAAAAGATACAAAAATTGAAGGAGAAGAGATAAAGCACTGGGGACAGAAGATACTGGGAGTAAGCTGGTAACGACGGAAGCAGGGTGAGCACTAGAAGGAGGAGGGGGTGCCAATATATTTCTAATTCCGCACTTATTTAAAATCTGCACCAAAAATAACTGAAGAGTAATCTCAACAGATTTTCTGCCCTACAAATGAGTCTACTTTCCTATCTCCCCCCTTTTGCCAACAATTCAAACTCTCACACCACCCTAATAAAGACCAACTACTTCGTGTTCAGCATCAAGACAGCACGGCGGTATCGGGAACATGTTACTCTCCATTTTGTCCGACAAGTTCCCCAGAACCTGCTAATTTGCCAGAGAGGCTGATACAATTCAAGTGCTCCTGACTGGGAACATAATTTTCAACACTGCACTCAAGAGAAAGTTCTGCTGTGATTATTTTAAATATTCAGGAACTTCTCAAGACTATCTTTATCTGCATCCTCATCATAATAAATAATCTGAATGTTTCTATATGCAAAACGACATGCATTATCTTCTTAAATCTAGCCAACAATCTTATGAGACAATCATTATCTCTATTTATAGATCAGAAATTGAGGATCATAATTTAAGTACTCTGCTCAGAGTCACCCAGGCATTAAGTGATAAATGAAGATCTGAACACCTAGATCTAATTCCAGAGTCTTTTTCGTTCCACATTGATCCCCATTTTACATTAAAAATACGAGGGAAGAGTCAAGTATGGAAATCATAATCTGATCAGACTGCCCACCAAGTCCATTAAGAGCCATGTCTTGAACCTGCTGACAACCATGTCTACCATTTCTTTCACTAAATTACAAGCATTTCCTTCAAATAAACAGAAATTAACAATTCATTCTTGATTAACTGTTTCACAAGATCATCTTAGCACATCTGCTGATCGCACGGTGCACCAAATACTGTTCTAGCTGCTCAGGGACTCAGCAGCACCACAGCCCTGTGCCTGCTCTTCGGTGGTGGGAGAAGGCAGGCAATAAACATGTAAACAAGTAAATAAGACATGTGACAGAAGCAACAGAAGGGCCGCTTCGAACAAGGTCATTTAGGAAGGTCTTTCTGAAGAGCTAGTATTTGAACTTGGGTCCAGATGAGAAGGCAGGACTGAAGAAGCCACAGCAGCAGATGCATCAATGGCGTAGGATCCTGTAGGCCACAGTAAAAGTTTAGGTCTTCATCTTATTGCAACGGGATACCACTGGAGGATTTCAAAGCACAGACATAACATCTGTTTATGCCATAGGAATAAAAGTCACTTAAAAAAGATAGACGGCACAAATAAAAAATAGAAATAAATAAACAAATGAAAAAAAAAACAAAAAAGGCATGACTGCTTCAGTAAAGCGAATAACAGAAACCTGAGTAAACCTGTAGCGCCCACGCATGGGGGGCCAGCCTCAGAAAGCCCCCCTGCTTTCGCCACACCACTCCCTCTCAAGTGAGATGACAGTCTCTCATTACACACAATGAAATAGAGGAGAAAATAAAAGTATCTCTGAAGAAGCTAATGCAATTACTTAAATTCATCACTGCTTCTGAAGATAAATGACTGAGAAAAGGATGCCAGAAGAAGAGACAAGCAAAAATGGCATCAGAAAAATGGGCAGACAGGCTGGGCACATCGCTTCTCAGATTTGCCTAAAGCGGACTGAAAAATAAAATTCTGTTAAGATTATAATTCTAACTGTAAAAAAAAAAGATGAAAGTGAGGGTGGAGTAGCCCCTGCATAAACTCTGTCCACTGCGCCCGCCACCACATGCCTGAGTCTCACATGAGGCTGCAGGTGCAATGAGATAGATGATGTTGCTTAACTGTAAATGTAAAATGACTACACAGTCACCGTTTTATAAATTCCACTCCACAAGGGAAGAAAACCCAGGATTTCAGGAAGCCAAAAGCATGTAACTACACAGACCATTTCTAATGCACTGCAAATGAAGTGCTGTCTTCCTAGGGCGATCGTCCTTCTGCTTTGAAGGAAAGTAAGCTCCAGCGCAATATCAACAACAGTGAGGGAGAGAAACGCTGGCTCCATTAGTGCTGACTAGCAAAAATACTGTCATTGTCCTTTGAAATCCCACAAGGCAGGCTGGGGACCAACTTACTCTGGCAAATGATGTAACCATACAGTTAAGCTCCAGAGCCCAAAGGTAGAAAATGTTAAATACTTGTATCATTTAGTGAAAATGTTTTAAAACAGGGAGGCGAATGTGTTCGCAGCTCACACCAGCACTGTTTGCTACCACTGGTGTCCCAAGCCCATGAGAGAATAATCCTGAAAACATTGTTTTACAAAGTGAAATGTGACCACTGCCATCTAAGAGGGTGCAGTCAAACCCTTACTCCACCATTTTACTGTGTGACCATAAGCAACTTAATGTTCTGGAGTCTTAGCTTCTCTATCTGTAAATGAGAAACTTAAAAAAAACCTAACTTCTTAGGGTTACTTCAAGAAATGACAGAGCTATGATGTGAATGACAACGACAATTGGGGCTGGGAACACACCAGCTACTCAATGTGAGTCTCTGATGATGACTGTCATCATATTTGATGTTCCAGGCCCTAATTTTACCCCTTGGCAGGAAAGTAACTATTTGATCTGCTACTGATAAGCAGGCTTGTTCTAAATCTTTTCTGCATGTTATTCAAAGAACCACAACCACCTCTCCCAACCATAACTTCACACACAAACGGAAAGGTTGGTGCCCCTGATTTCTCACAAGTTTTCTCTACCTGTTCCCTAAAGGGTAAACACAAATTAAAACACTACAACAGCACTGGCAGAAGTGGAATATGAAGGACAGCTGGATACTGACTCTCATCCGTGACACGCCACACACAAGAAGCAACAAAAGATGGTCGGATATGGACTTGGGTGAGTTCTCTCTTCTCAGCAAGGAGCAACAGGGACGACTCCACATTTCCTCCCAAAACATTTGCAATCTTTCCCAAACAAGCCAGGATCATGACAGTTTCACAGACCTCTTTTCTGCAGGAAAGCAGCAAAGCGGGGACAAACTCCCCGATGGACAAAACATAACCGGGAGGGAAAGTCCTATTCATCCAAAAAGCACGTTTCTGGGTTTCCTGTTTCGATCACCTATTACACCAAACTCACCTCGTTAAAAAGGTATTTCAAGGGATGGGCGGGTAGGCGGCTACGCTTTCTATCTCAAAGTACTCGTCAGGATGGTCGTTTCCGGACAGGGTCAAGAGCGGGTATTTACTGCAGCGAAACCGGAGGGGCAGGGGGCCTTCCAGGCGGCCGCCCCGGCTCCGCGTGCAGCTCAGGCGCCTCGGTCCCAACACCCCGGCAGGCCCTCCCGGCCGCACAAGTTGGAGCTCAGCGGAAACCCGAGCGGCCCTCGTCTCCCGGCGAGGCCGGAGCGCGGACTCCCGCTGGGCCGGCGCTGCGGCCGGGAGGCCAGCGGTCACCAGCGCGCCAGGCCCGAGAAAGAAACGGACGCGACAGCGTCCGCGAAGGGCCCGGGAGGGCGGCCGCACCTGAGGGGCTGCGGCGGGAAACGCTCCCCGGATCGCCCCAGATCGGGCCCAACGGCCCAAGGTCACGCCGAGCCAGTGGCCACAAAACCCGAGGCACGACGCGGCTGCAGCAGCGCGGGCCGGGCCCGGCGGGGACCGGAGGCTGGAGGGGGGCCTCGGGGCCGGCCTGGGCCCGGCAGCTGCGCCGAATGCGGGCGCCGGCGGCAGCCCCGCGCCGGGGTCCCCCCGCGCCCCCGCGTCCCCGCACTCACATCTCCGGAGCCACTTCATCCAGTGGTAGACGATGGTGCTGTGGTGCTTCTTGTTCTCGATACACCAGGACGACAGGCCCTGGATGGACTCCATGGTGTTGGTGACCGCCTGGAGCTTCCGATCGAGCGAGGACTCCAGCGCCCCCGCCGCGGCGCCCGCCGAGGACGAGGCCTTGCTGCTGGCTCCGCCGCCGCCGGCCGCCATCTTCCCGGTTTGCACCAGCGCGGCTGCTCCCCTGGCGGCGGCGGCGGCGGGCGCGGGCGCAACAATCACTGCGAGCGCGGGGCGCGGGCGGGCGGCGGGCGCCCGGGGGCGCGCGCGGGCGCGGGGCGCGGGGCGCGCCGGGGCGCGGGCGCCGCGAGGGGTGCGCTGGGGCCGGTCGGCGCGCGCGGAGGACGGGCGCCCCGGCGCAGCCTGCCCGCCGCGCGGCGCGAGACGAAGGGGTTCGCGGACGCTCGGCTGCCCGCCGGCGCCTGCCCCGCCCGGCCCCGCGCGCCCGCAGGCGGGCCTCGCTCTCGCATGGGCCCCGCGCCCGGCGCAGCCCCGTCCCGCGGCCCTCGGCTCGAGAAGGCCCGGGCTGCCCAGTCGGGATTTTTTTTGCAACGCAATAGCAGCAGAGGGGCAGCGGCGGCAGCGCGCACGCGCCCCGCGGCCCCGCCCCCCGGCCCCAGCGGCCCGGAGCGCGGAGGCGGCGTCGCGGCGTCGCGGCGTCGCGGCGACGCGGCAGGCGGGCGGCCAATCACGGGCGCGGGCGGGGAAGCGCGCGCTGGCCCCGCGGCCCGAGGTGCGCTCCGCAGGCTTGTGCGCCTGCGCGGCAGGCCGGCGTGTAGCGGGCTGGGAGGAAAACCCGAGGGGGAGGGGAAGGGGCTTCACTGCTCCGCTTCGCCTTGTGCTCCTCAGGGGCCTGCCCGGGTCACACCCCCGGGCCCGGGGGTTCCCGCCGCTCGGTCGCCACTGTTAATGTCGGGAGGCCGCCACCGCCGCCGCTGCTCGCTCCGCGGGGCACCGACGTGCGGCCCGGGGGCCGGCAGCCATCTTGGGGCGGGCGCGCAGCTGCGCATGCGCGGCGCCGGCGCGCCGTTCACCACGCAGCCTCCCCGACCGTGCAGGGTTTTCACTCGCCTCTGGGCGAGAACCCTCGCGGCCGCCTGCTCCTGTGGATTAGAGGAAGAGGAAGTCAATGCAGTGAGATGGAAATGTTTGAGACGAGGGAGGAAGTTAAGGCAAGCTACAACCTCACCTTCGTCGGCTGGGATGCAGTCTCTTAGTGACGTGGTGCTTTACAGTCTGCAGGAACCTTCGATACCTGTTACAGGTGTTAGCCCAGCCTATTTTCATCATTTATCCTGTCTGCCTAGTCTGAATCAGCCAGGCACATTTTAAGGCTCCTGAGTCCTACTGAACGCATGACTAGTGTGATTAACTCCTTTCGCGTCTCCCCCATAAACGCACATTTCTTGAGGCAGAGAGCCTTATCTAGTCTTCGTTGATTCAACAAAAAGGTGTTGAACGTCTGGGCCAAGTACTGTTCTGCATGTTGAGAACAACCCTTCCTTCTGGGGCTTTGTGGCAAGAGACAATAAACGAATATATATTAGGGAGCAATCGGTTCTGTGAAGAAGTATGAAGCCACAGAAGGGGAGAAGGGGTGGCGTGTGTGTGTGTGTGTGTGTGTGTGTGTGTGTCTGAATTAGAACAGGAAGGGTGACCTGGAGACCCTGGAAGGCTTCTGGAAGGAACTGAAACTTAATCTGATGTTGAGGACAAGGTACCCAAGCAGATGAGCGTGGGGGTTAAAGGGGAGAGGGGAACATGCTGGCAGAAGGAACAGCAAGTGCAGGGGTCCTTAAAAAGGAATGTCTTGACATACTGAAGAACGAGGAGGCCAGTGTGACCAGAGAAGAGTGAAAGGGGGACACGTGATAGAATACGACGTCTTAGATGAGAGGGGAGAGTTCATTTAGGACCTAGCTGGTCACAGTATTTTTTTATGCATACAAGAACTGGGGTACAGGCCAGAGGTGTGGGGGGTGAGAGGAGTCACCAGAGACAGAGTGGGGAGCAGAACAGGCAGATCTAGTAAAACCCACTGCTGAGGGGAGCAGCGGGCGAGTCAGGAGAGGTCTGCTGCACCATGTGGGTGGTTCCCTGGCTGGAAATTGAACTTGTGTTGCAGTGGCTGTGAATAGCTTCATAGGTTGCGTCTTAACCCCTTGCACCACCAGGGAGGCCCAACACAGTGATCTTTAAAGATATAGTGGTTGATGTAGATTTTAGAATTACCAATAAAGAAGGCTATCGGAATAATGCAGACAAGGAAGAGATAATGGCTTGTACCAGAGTTGTAGCAAAAAATACGAAACATGGGCTTCCCTGGTGGTTCAAGGGGTTAAGCACTGCACTATGAAGCAATCCTCAGCCTCTGCAGCACAAGTTCCATTCCAGGCCAGCCAGGGAGCAATCCACATGGTGCAGCAGACCTCTCCTGTTTTACCCTCTGCTCCCCTCAGCAGTGTATTTCAGTCAGTCTGCCTGTTCTGTTCCCCACTCTGTCTCTGGTGAATCCGCTAACCCCCCTCCCTCTCACATCTCTGGCCTGTACCCCAGCTCTTTATGCATAAATAAATTTTGTTTTTTTTAAAAAAAGTATGGACATGGTGTAAAATCCTAGACATATTTTGAAGATATAGATAGGAGAACTGGTCACGTACTTAAAATTAAGTGGGAGAAAAACAAATGAATCAAGTATGATACCAAGATTTTTGTCCTAATAACCAAAACAATGGTTTTCAGGATTTTTTCACTAATGTTACCGCTAAGATCCTTTTTTAGATATTTTTCCTAATCCCTCCAACCCGTGAAATTTTCAGTAACATACATTGTGTATCTATTTGTGTACTATACGTCTATCTGTGCTTTGTACAAGGGTAAGCATGAAATTTACTCGATGCAGTTAAGAATGACAAAAAAGGGGCCTCCCTGGTGGCACAAGGAATTAAGACACAGCACTATGAAGCTATCGGTGAGTTCAATCCCTGGCCAGGGAGCTACCCACATGGCACAGCAGACCTCTCCTGTCTCCCCGCTACTCCTCTCAGCAGTGTATTTCAATTGACCCGCCTGTTCTGCTCCCCACTCTGTCTCTGGTGAATCCTCACCCCTGCACCTCTGGCCTGCACTGCAACTCTTGTATGCATAAATAAATAAATCTTTTAAAAAATTGACAAAAAGACATGTTTAAATTAAAAAATGATTAAATTTAGCTTAACTTTATAACTTTGCTATGTAAATGTTAGTGTAATTTTTAAAATAATTTGTACTTTAGCACATTGCTATGCAAATTAGCAACTCATATAATCAATGTAATTTTTTTAAATCATTCAAAACTTGTATTTCCACAAAAAGAAACTAGTTTTATTTTGAATTTCTTATAAATTTTCAGTAAACTTGAATTGTTATAAAAGATTTATTTTACTTGTTTATGCATACACGAACTGGGGTGTAGGCCAGAGGTGGCAGGGAAGGGGAAGGGGGGAGGGGTCAGAGGAGTCACCAGAGACAGAGTAGGGAGCAGAACAGGCGGATCAACTGAAACACACTGCTGAGGGGAGCAGTAGGCGGGACAGGAGAGGTCTGCTGCGCCATGTGGGTAGCTCCCTGGCCGGGGATTGAAGTCATGCTGCAGTGACTGCGGATAGCTTCACAGTGCTGTGCTTAACCCCTTGTGCCACAAGGAAGGGCCCCCCTTTTTTTTAATGAAGAAATCTATTATCTATCTTGATCATCTCAATTTATTCTCCATTGTGAATTCTAAGTGATTTGTATTTTTTTAGATTTATTTATGCATAAAGAGCTGGGGTACAGGCCAGAGATGTGGGGGGAATGAGAGAATTCACCAGAGACAAGAGTGGGGAACAGAACAGGCAGACTAACTGAAATACACTGCTGAGGGGAGCAGCAGGTGAGGCAGGAGAGGTCTGCTGCGCCATGTGGGTTGCTCCCTGGCCGGCCAGGTATCGACCTCATGCTGCAGAGGCTTTGGATTGCTTCATAGTACAGTGCTTAACCCCTTGTGCCACCAGGGAGGCCCCTCTAAATGATTATTAAAACTCCAGACTGTAGAGGAAAAATAACCACCGTTGACAAATTATACATGAGTGGAAACAGATGATGAAAGACATTACTTAAGTTCACAAAGTGTTTTCGGTGCAGACAGCACCCAAGTGAGAATAACGTTCATTTGAGAGAACGCATCTATCCTTATCACCTTATTTCACGAATGAAACAGCCTATGTAGGGGCTGGATTTGTGCTCAACAGACTTGGGTACAAATTAAGCTCCACTAATTTTACTAGCCACAACTTTGGTGCAGATTACTCTAAGCCTGCAGATTCCTCACCTGTAAAATCAACTCTTTTCATAAAAGTTGTTCTGATAAAGGAGGCACCAAACAAAAAAAATACCCCTTTAAGGCAGAGGGAAATGAGACTTACCTAAGACAAGGTTGAGTCTCATGGGTATCTTATAATAAAGTGTCTTATACTCATTATGTAATAATTTTTTGAAGTTGTGTATAAACTGTTGACACATTTGTGATAAATCCTTTAATAAAGGCAAAGGGATTTTTAAGTGGACTTTCTCCCTGGGTTTGCTTTAATCAGTAATTATAAAAAACTGATTCAATTCTATAGCTCCTAAGTGTCACAGATATAGGATGAACACTAGCAAGCACCCAAAACCTTCATTGCTGAATCCTGACAAGCTGTTTCTGTTTACAGATTTTATCCTGCTCCAGGAATTAGCCTCACGTCTGGGTAGTTTACTTGTATTTATTTATTTTTTGAAAGTTCCTATTTTTTTTTTAAAGATTTATTCATTTATTTTATTTTTATAGAGGCATTTTTTTTTTAATTTACTTGTTTGTTTATACATGCACTGGGTACAGTCAGAAGCGCGGGAGGGCGAGAGAATTCACCAGAGCCAGAGCGGGGAGCAGAGCAAGCAGAAGGACCAAAGGACACTGCTGAGAGGAGCAGCGGGCGGCAGGAGAGGTCTGCGCGCCATGGAGGACCCTCCTCCGGTGGCCGGGGAGCAGCCGGGGATCGAACCGGTACCGCAGATGCTGCGGGCAGCTTTGCAACCCAGCGCTCAACCACTGCACCACCGGGGAGGCCCTAAAGATTTATTTATTTATACAAGCACTGGGTACAGTCAGAAGTGCGGGAAGATGAGAGAATTCACCAGAGCCAGAGCGGGGAGCAGAACAGGCAGACGAACCAAAGACACTGCTGAGGGGAGCAGCGGGCGCGGAAGGAGAGGTCTGCATGCCATGTGGGACCCTCGCTGGCAGCCAGGGATTGAACCGGCGCTGCAGAGGCTGCGGGCAGCTTCACAGCCCAGCGCTCAACCACTGCACCACCAGGGGAGGTCCCAGTTTACTTATATTTAGAAAAGGGAGCTTGTACAATTTTTTTCTGAAAGCCCTTTCTTTCCACCCTTTATCCTAGTACTTCCTAATAATTCCTTCACTGTGATTAGGACCTCAAACTCTTAAAATAGGGTGGTTGTAACATAGAATGTCTTGTCAAGTTCAACTTCTCCAACATCACTCCCTAGTAAGCGCCAAGCCGGAGTTACAGGAGCTCAAATGGCTCCTGTGTTTGATCCACTCCCAATACATCAACAAGAAACAAGAAATGGAAGGATAGATAAGAATTCTGGCCTTCAATGAGTATTTATTCTGACCTAAATACTCCCAAAGTCAAACTAGAAATATTAAATGCTAAAACAGAACCACATCTAGTCAGGTTCTTAGAAAACAAAAAAACTACACATTGTTAGAAAAGGATTTTTTTTTTTTTAATTAGTGAGGAGAGGAAATAGGTTAGATACCTAAATCCTATTCCACTTTATAAACTAACTCATTAACATCCTCCCGGGATGTGTGCACTTCACCTACAACACACACTCTTAAGCAATTAATTTCCTGTTAAAACTACTTAGTCAAGACCAGATGTCATCCCTTTACCTCATGACGCCATCTTTTGAAGGTTAACAGATGGATACACATTTGTTCCCGCCTTCTTGATCCACCTAACACCCCCTCCTGTTTCCTCTGCCTGCTTTTGCTCCAAAATCAGGTCGGAACTCTCTAGACCTCAAAAATACTTCTCCATTCATCCATCCACACATTCATTCACTTATATATACATAAATATCAATGACAACATTTTCATTTTCCACAGCACTCTACATCCGGAGAAAAGATCAAACTCCAATACTTCCGAGTATGTGAAAAATAGCATACCAAGTTTAAAAATAACTCTTTAATCATATGCACATAAGGGGAATAAAGGGCAGCACCAGGCTGTCTAGGGAAGGGGCAAGGAGAGCCCCTGCCCGATGCCAGCCCGGCACAGTTCTGAGAGCACACACACAAACGGGGCTGGGAAGTAGAGTAAAGGAGAGGACCAAGGAGACACAGGCAAGAGGGGAGAGGCCGGGGCCGCGGCAGCCTCAGTCAGTGCACTCCAGCACAGATTCACTCAGTGCAAGGTCCCAGTAGTGTTCGGCGCCGTGCTTTTTGAAATGCTCCCGAGCCATGTTCTCTGTGGGGCACTGTTTGAACTTCATGTCTCCAAAGCTCCGGTCTTTGGCCGTACCCTGGGAAGGAGGTAATATTTGCAATAAACACAGTGCAATTGCTCATTTAAATTGTCCTCATTATTTTATAAAACCTAGTGAAACTTGCGTTAACAATGTGCCTAGCTTAGTGCGATTTTACAGTAAAAGCAATTCTAACTTCCACCCCCTTGGAGACTTTTTGTGAGTTTTCAATGAATTTTCATGCATAAAGTTCTCATTTTTTTGGACTGAAGCGTGAGTTTTGTGCTGTGGTGCCTGAGAGAGAACAAATCAGGAGGGTATGCTGAGACTGACTTTTCTTCCACCAGAACTCAAGGACTAGATCTGAGGCTTTAAGGAGAAAGGAGTAGAGAACTGAGGAGCTGAACGGATTCTCTTCACAAGACTCTCACTGGTGAGACCCCGTATACAGCAGGATGTTTTGCAGCCCCGTGATAAACAACGCAGGGATGAGGGGAGGGAATGGGAGTCCGGGTGGCTACCTGGGGAGAAAGGTAAGAGAAGAGCAAGGACTAGGAAGGGCTGCGCCTCACCAAGCCACCAGCAGCAGTGACAGGTGTGGAAGTACTACCTCAAGGGGCTTTCAGGGATCAGATTCCAATAGAAGGCTAGAGCTGAACTTGCTTTGTTTCTGAATCAGATGTAATTCCTGAGGGCTTTAGAGATAAATGGAAAAAAATTTGGAAGAACTGAATGGGCTGGGATATTAAATAGGCAAGTGGGAACCTATGAAAAAGAGAAACAGGCATTATGGTTATTATGACCTAATTTATGTGCATGAATTCGAGGAGTCTGGCATAACACAGAGCCACATGAGTAACACTGAATAGCAGTTACCTACAGGGTGGTCTTAAAGGGTCAGGGAATCCGAAGGACACTCTTTCAGTAAGTGCCGCCTGTAGGGTTTATTTTAATAAGCATTCACTACCTTTGTAATGATGTACTATTTTTATAATAAAGAACTAGTTACTAAGTATGAGCACATTTAAACAACAGAAGATACACATGTACTCAACATAAAAATGAAGGCATCAAAACAACACAAAAGTAGAAAATCTTCACAATGTATAAGCTGCCTGTTGGCGTGGGACTAACATGATTACTGCCATACATCAGGTAAGGATCAAGTCACTGGAAAGAAACAGTTACTTCTTCCTGGAGAAACGGGATGATTATTCTATGCTTCACAAAGCACAAATGACTCTTAATTCACATATTGGCCTGGAGAAGCATATTTATTCATTCTTCAGAACTAACATCGGTTCCCTAAGATCATCTTTGGAATGAAAAGAGTTGTGTCAGCAGGGTGGGCAAAAAAGGAGAGGGCGTTAATTATATGGTGGAGAATGGAAACTAGACTTTTTCTTTTTTTTTTTTAAGATTTATTTATGCATACAAGAGCTGGGGTACAGATCAGAGGTGTGAGGGGTAAGGATTCACCAGAGACAGAGTGGGGAACAGAACAGGCAGAATAACCGAAGTACACTGCTGAGGGGAGCAGCAGGTGAGTCAGGAGAGGTCTGTTGCGCCATATGGGTTGCTCCCTGGGCGGCCGGGAACCGAATTTGTGCTGCAGTGGCTGAAGATATCTTTGCATCTTAACCCTTGCTCCATGAGGGAGGCCTCTAAATAAGTAAATCCTAAAAAAAAAAACCAAAAAACTTGGGCCTCCCTGGTGGTACAAGGTGTTAAGTAAGACGCAACCTATGATGCTGTCCGCAGCCACTGCAGCACAAGTTCGATCCCCCGGCCAGGGAGCTACGCACATGGTGCAGCCGACTTCTCCTGACTTGCCTGCTGCTCCCCTCAGCAGTGTGTTTCAGTCAATCTGCCGGTTCTGTTCCCCACTCTGTCTCTGGTGAATCCTCTCACCCCCACACCTCTAGCCTGTACCATAAATAAATAAATAGCTTAGGGCCTCGCCGGTGGCGCAGCAGTTGAGCGCTGGGTTGCGAAGCTGCTGGCAGCCTCCGCGGCGCCGGTTTGATTCCAGGCTGCTCCCCGGCCACCGGAGGAGGGTCCCGCATGGCGCGCAGACCTCTCCTGCCGCCCGCTGCTCCCCTCAGCAGTGTACTTCGGTCCTTCTGCCTGCTCTGCTCCCTGCTCTGGCTCTGGTGAATTCTCTCACCCTCCGTGCTTCTGACTGTACCCAGTGCTTGTATAAACAAATAAATAAATAAATCTTTAAAAAAAAAAAAAAAGTTAATGTTTTCATTTAAAAAAAAAAAAATTTTAAATAAATAAATAAATAAATAGCTTGTATGCATAAATAAATAAAACAGAGAAGTTAAAAAAAAAAAAAAAAAACACTTCATTGATTTAACCATATATAATAAGGAAGAATTTGCTGCCAAACATTTAACGACAAATTCCAGAAAGGAACATCATTAAAGGGGCAGTCATTGTATAGTTGTTGCCATTCCTCTGTTCCACTTGAATACTATGAACAACCAGAAATGAACTAAAGTTCTGTGTCAGTGTTCTATCAAAGGCCACCTACCTCCCAGACTAGCACACATTTGTTGGTTTTCTTCACAGCTTCCTCATCAGATTCCTCATCATCTGGAAAAGAAAATATAGTTAAAATCTTGCTCTAGACTTGAGACCAAAATTTAGATTTAAATAAACATTATTCAAGTCTACCTAAATGTATTTAAATATTATCTCCCTCCCCCATATATCAGCAGCCAAAGTTGCCTGGTACTATTTATTTTCCTCAGATTAGACTGGAAGCTCCAAACAGGCGGGGACATTAGTTAATTCCATAACCCCTTCTTGAGTACACACTATGAACCAAGAGCTGTGCGGGTATACTGGGGAATAAGGAATGCGAGAGAAGCAATCAACAGAAATTTGCCCTAGGCATTCTGAGAGCCAGGCTTCAGATGTCCACGTCACACAGTCGTCTCAAGAAACTTTTGATGTAAAGGAGGAAGAATACAGAAATGCCAAATAGAAATACCTTAGAACCCTTCCAAAACAAAATAAAATATAGGTCAATTATAGTAAAAAGTGTACTTTAAGGTACATAAGTACTTTAAGGGTAAAAGTGTAAGAGGGTCAAAGTTAGGAAAAACTTAGTAACTCTCTGCAGAAGTTAAATGGTAACCAGGTCTTAAGGTAGACAAAAATGAGTATTGTTGGAAAAATTATTGCCAGGAGAATGTCAAATATTACATGGACATATATAATATTTATCTTATACATTACCACACATACAAGATATATCAGTTCTATATTATTGTATACATATCTTATATATCATATATAGGAGATAAAGTTGGACAACTGAACTGAAAAGTTATTTTCTTGAACAAAGCAGAGTTTCTGATCTGAAAATCTTTTTTGGTCTTTATTCCTTTAAACAATCATTTATTGAAGCAAAACACATATATATATATATACATGTTCTCTTCCTGCGTTCCTATAAAACGTCCTGTGTTTTCACAAACTGAATACACTCCTATAAATAGTATCCAGATCTGGGGCAAACAGGGAAACCAGCGGCTAGAAAGGCCTTGAAGAACAGGCAGAGACTGACTATCACTCACGTATAGGATCACATAATAAATATTGTATCTACATCTGGCATGCACACAGTTCAGATGGGTCTTTCTAGAAATCCTGGTCTTATCTAGTGTTAGCAAGCTAGAGTGACAGAGTGAAGAAACAGATTGAGAAACAAAAGTACCACCCAACCTCCCGCTTAATCCCTGCTAACCCCCATTCACCATCTCCCTTTGTGTTAGATGTCTGTTCATCCCACTTTATCCGATGCAGCATAAGTCGCTTAAATTTCTTCTGGGCCTTGGGGCCTGGAAACAGAGAAGGAGAATTTTGCCACAGCTGTGGGAGATGATGGAATAGAAAGAACCTCTGAGCTCATTTAATGTCAGACATTAATGTGGTAGTTGAAGCAATCCCAGGAACAACTTAGGTCCTTCTACACCAACGAACATAGGAACCGAGGATATTAAACACAGGAATGGCTCTAAAATACTATCTTTTTCTCCTGTTCCCCCACCACGCTAAATCACTTCAAAGCCTAGGGTTGCCTGGGGACAGACTCCCTCATTTTTTCAGACTCACCCCCTTCCACTACTACCACGTTGACATCCTTGTGCAGTACCACCACCCCTGTCAGGTACAGCTGCCCAGCATTGGCCTCAATCTTGAACTTCTTGGCTGGGTTGCTCAAATTTCGAACTCTGGAGAAGGGAAAGTTTAGTTATGGCTTTCATTTTAGCATCAGCAGCTGCTTGAATGGAATGGCAATTAAATAGATGGATCCAATATGCTTTTCTCGCTAAAAATAAAGGCCTTTGGAGTAAGCAAATATACTACTGCTCAAAGGTAGAGTTGATGAGTCTAGAAATATTTCTACTCTCTAATACTTCCTTCCAAGTAGCTGAAGTACTAAGCATATACTCCACAACAAAGAGCAGGCAATCAAAATCTACTCTAAGAATGAAGAAGTATTTATCCTTGTCCAAAAATATTTATAAGCTAACTGTTCTTGACAGTATACAGATCAACAAATTCTTTGCCCACTAGGTGCTTATAATGTAAAGTAGTCATAATGTTATGCATGAACATCTTCTGAAAGAATACAAGAAAATGGGGGCCTCCTGTTAAGGGAGGTTATATCTCAGTGCCATCATGCTATCACCTCTGTGGCCTGAGTTCGCTCCCTGGCCAGGGAGTGACCCACATATGGTGCAGCAGACCTCTCCTGCCTCCCCGCTGCTCCCCTCAGTAGTATATTTCAGTCAATCCACCTGTTCTGCTCTCCACTCTGTCTCTGGTGAATTCTCTTACCCCTCGCACTTCTGGCCTATACCCCAGTTCTTCCATGCATAAATAAATAAACCTTTTAAAAAAAAAGATAGAAAGAATACATGAAAACTGGTAGCATCAATTACCTATGAGTAGTCCTGGGAGATCAGTAATAGGAAGGAATTTTTTTCAATAAGTGCTCTTCTGTATTGTTACAACTTAGAAAAATCTTAATAAGCATTTACTGTTTTTAAAGAATTAGTTACTAAATATGAGCACATTTTAAAAAAAGAAACATGTATTCAAATAAGAGTAAAATGAAAATAAATATCAAATCAACATGAATGTAGAAAATATTTACGATGTATAAAGTACATTTTGGAGTGGAAATGAAAGGATCTCTGCAATACATGGGGATAAGGATATAACTGCTTAAAGAGAGAAATTTTTAATGTTTCCTGGAGAAGCAGAATGATCTCTTATGACAAATGATGAATGATCTTAGTTCACATCTTGGCCTGAACAAACATATTCATTTATTCATTCATTCATTCACCCATAATTCTTCAGACTTGGTCCACTAAGACTACCTCAAGGAGAAGAATAAACCTCAACACTCACTACTGTAAAAGATTTACGATCTCCTAATTCACACGAGAGTCATTAAAAGAGAAGAGGGACTGACGTCAGCTGTGTTTCTAGATCACGGTGATTCTGCCTCAAGCACTTGGAAAATGTCTTAGTATTTCTAAGAGATAAGCTACCCAATTTGGACACCTACCTATATACAGATATGTGTACCCCCTGTGAAATATCTTCTTTAAGCTTTTTAATTTTCTTGACCTTTCTCTGTTCTGCTGTAAGTTTTCGGGCAGCGTTGGCCTCTTCATGCGCTCTGTCGTGACAGGAAGGACATCCACAAGTGAGAAAGGCATTGAAGATCAGAGGCAGGGCTGAGGGAAAGAGAGAGCAACGGAGGACTCTCCCCCCCCTCCAGACGTGGATCCCCCAGAAGAGTTTGGAATAGGTGCTTGCCATGGGTTTCCACCCACCCCTATGGCACTTACTTCTGTCTTTTTGCCATCTGAGCTCTGACATGCGCTTCTACCTTCGTGGGGTCTTGAACAGCTTCTGTTCCTAATACTCGCATCAAATTTGAAATTCTCACTGCAGTGGGGACAGAAATCAATCTCCTGAGTCACGTATCCAGCTGGAAAACCTGTCACTTCTCCCAATTCACAATCATTATTTATTTCAAATTTCTGCTAAAAACTCACTTCCTCAAAAAATTCCTACATTGAAAAGTCTATCCAATTAACCCAGTATTTGTGAAAGGTCACACAATTAATTGTATGTACTTACAAGGTTTGAAAATTTATGAAAGACAAGGAACTTAATTTCTTGGTATTTTTTTCATTCTGATCATAGTGTTTAGTGAAAGATCCTACACCTAACAAAGCTCACTCAAAATTTTACTGAATAACGGAATCAGGAGAGGTTTTTAAACTGGTTCCATTGTTAAAACAGTAAGAATTACATACATAACAACGCCATGCAAATACTGCAACTACTGTCTTCATAAGGAAAGACAAAACCACTGACCGATTCTGAGAAACAGAAAGCACTGAATACTGAGGTGCTAAAGACAGGACAGAATGGCAGAGATCAATGTGACACCCTTTTTTCCCTCACCCCAAGAACACACCTTTGGGTTCCGGTGGGGGCATGAGACCCAGCCTGACTTTCTCCTGTAGCTCCTTCTGTGCTTCCCTCCTCGTTTGCCTTCGCAGTTTCTTCTGTTCCTTCTTGGTAAGATATACTCCCAGAGTAACTGGCGTGTCACTGTCAACTGTTAGGGAGAGAGATGAATGTACCAAAGCAATAAGCCTACTCGAGGAACTTGGGTGTGTACCACTTACATTAAAAGGCACTTTAGTTGGTCAGTGTTAGTGATGTTTAGGTTAATAGTTATGACATGGTTAAATTTTTTAAAAAATGTTTTTATCTTTCATGAGTAGTGTTCAAACTTGTTTTTCTTTAAGCAGTTGACCCTTTATTCAACTGAAATGTGGCAATTACAGAAAACAAAATTAGAGCTCCTTTAGTTCTAAGTGAGGAGTTGGGGTTAAGAACGAGTATCCAGAATCCCACTTAGATCCCACCTCTTGAGCATAAATGTTTTGGTGGAATTCAATTTGAAAACCACTGACACTGACGATAAAATTTATAATTTTAGAGTTTACGGCACAGGGAAAAATCCTCTGGACTCCCAAAGCACTTTTACTCAACTTTTCAGAAACAAACATCTTCCTCTGCCCCCACATATCCTTTTAGTAATTCACACTGATGATAGCAAAGTAGAATTAAGTAAAATCCAATGACTACTATACCTTGTATTATCTCAACGTCCCAATATATTTTTCTGAACTTACTCCTCAATTTACCAACTGAGATATTAACTCTTTTCATCCCAAATCTAACTCATGTGATCAAATCTGACTAATGTGATCAAATCTTTTATGAATCATAAAATGCTTAAAGGTGGGAGGCCTCCCTGATGGTGCAAGGGGTTAAGTCTTAGCACAATGAAGCTATCAGCAGCCACGGCAGCATGAGTTCAATCCCCGGCCAGGGAGTTGACCCACATGGCACAGCAGACCTCCCGTCTCACCCACTGCTCCCCTCAGCGATGTATTTTAGTAGATCCACTGGTTCTGCTCCCCATTCTCTCTCTGGTGAATACTCTCACCCCCCGCACCTCTGGCCTACACCCCAGTTCTTGGATGCCTAAATAAATCTTTAAAAACAAAACAAAAAACTTTTGAAGATGTATCAGTTAATATCTGTACAAATGAGGAAATTCTGTATTTCAAGTGATTTACCCAACATATTCAGCTGAATAAAACAGCCACAATTAAAACCTCTCGCCTTACTGAAACAACAGGCTATGGTACAAAAATTATAAAGAAAAAAAGGCGGAAGACAAAGAAGATCAACAAAGGGAAGGCATTTCATAATGGTGTAAAGGCCAGAACTGGGAGTCAACACTATGGTAAAAGCCTAACCCACCACACACATCAACAAGTCAGTCATCTCTAAGTAAGGACTCAATGCTTCAGAGCTACACTGTCTAATAAAGTAGCCAACAGCCATATGTCCAATTTACATTCATTAAAACTGAAAAAATAAAATCTAGACCCTCAGCTATACTGGTGAAACCAGTGTACAGTTGCACTCGGTTTTCAGGTGCTCAACAATCACATGTTGACAGGGGCAGCTGTCTCAGACACACAGAAAACATGTCCATTATCACACAAGCTCTACCAGTGACTACTTCTCTAGAGCCTGACTGAACCACCCATACTTTACCTGGAGGGTTGAGTTGGGCTGGATGTTCAACAAGATTCGTGATTCCAAAATAATCTTCTCTCTTAGGATTTTGCTCTGTACTAAAATTGGAGGAAGAAGGGAAAACAAGATATGTGGATAGAGATGATGCCAATAGAAAAGGAATCTCATAGACAAAATGAAAAAACTCATGATCCATAATGTATTCCACCCCTTTTCAATACATGCATATCTATTATATGTATTAAATGTAATCTCTCAAGATGAGAAACTGGGTTCCACTAAGGCTTAGATGCGCTCTCTACACCAGTCATTCACAACCTTTTTTTCTACCCTCTCTCCTGAGGTTGTTACATTCTCTCATTAGTAAGGATAAATTCCTGGGGCGGTTAACAGAGGGGTAGAGAATGACTGAAACACTGTCCCAAAGCCAGGAAACAGAGTGGTGGAACAGACATAGTGAAAGTTGTCTAAATGTCTCTAATATGCTTTATTTACCATTCTGTCCACCATCAATTAAGAAACCTTGCTCTATTCTAGAACTGGACCTTTAAGATATGTAAACATCTATTACAAGTAGTAAAGTAATATAATTAAGAAATAACTGAAAAACAAGTAATGTTTAACACAGAAAATTTAGTTTTGAAGCACTCTACATTCACATGTACACAGTGGCTGCTATCTCAGACAAGAGAGCAAATATGTCCATTATCACACAAAACTCCAGTGGGTAATACTTCCCTAGAGCCTTGATTATGTGTGCCCTTTCCTCCAACATCAACTCAAGAAAAAACCTAAAATAACCCATTAACATATCCTTTATAAATATATATGAGGTTGTGTATGATTAACTACTTCCCTTGGATTTCAAAGTTTTACTTAAAGCATGAGTACTATTATTCCATGACACTGCAGTGTTATGAAAAGGTATTACTGACAAACTCACAGGTCAAACCCATTGGGGATGATGTAGGAGTCCCACCACTCGATTTCAGGGATATCTCCTTCCTTTAACTCCTTCTTAGGAGCAATGAGGGCGAGCCTCGTTGTGGTATGGATGCCTGTTTTTCTAGCTGCCTGGGAGATCTCTGCCTGCAGCTTCTCCAATTGAGCCTAAAGACAAGATAAACAAAGAGAGGAAAGTAAGAGACACAGAGAATAGAAAAGCGGTAGAATCCCAAATTTTAAAATACTCTCTTGTTGAACAATTTATACCTACTGTGATGAGTCCATAATTTCTGTAAGTTTCAAAAAAAGAGCTCGTTTTATTTAACCTTTACTTAGTTGATTTACACATACCTCACCCTCATCACTATCCACCCACGCCAGTGTGCTTGCAGCAAATATGCACAAACGACATTTTATGAGGCTCTCAGGGTGAAAATGACAAGGCCAAAGTCATTAACAATACAATTGTACGGATTGTTAGCTTTTCTCGTTACCCACAAGATCCTGAATTGTTCCTCCCTACTGCAAGTTGTATATGGAGAAGGCTGAAAATTTCATTTCTACCTAAACAGACTCTAACTGAAAAATCCATCAGCTAAAAAATCAAGTATTCCAGGAATACAGTATTTAAAAAATTATTCACTTTTCTGATTGTATTTTAGGACTATATTCAATTTCCTTTTTGTCATCTTCCAAATGTCTTTGAGATTCTAGGTTCTAGTCTAAGCCAGATACCTTTGTCCGTAAACGCTGGGCAATCTTCTCAAATTTGCCCTTGTCATGGAATTTAAAAGTACGTCTCTGGCGCTGAGAAGGGGCAATTGAGACTCGGGGGTCAAAAAAAGTATTAGATTCCATATCTTCTGATGGCTTTTCTTTTAGCTGTTGCTTAAACTGTTCTCTTTTCACAGCACGAATATTGGCTTTCAGAGTGGGCATGCGGTGTGTCAGCTCAATCTCCTTGCCTGTTGCATCCACAGTGCGACCTTGCTCGTCGAGGATTAGCGGTGTAGGTTTAGTTTGATCTTTTAATTCCACCTTCCTGAAAAATAGTCCAGAAAGAAACAAATTCCATATGAAACAAACAAAAAAACCTCAGAAAATATATCAAAGGCGGACAAAGACAACAAAGTCAATTCTATGGAACACAAAGTCCTCAATCAGTGAATAGCTTGATTAAAAATATCAAACTGGATATTTAAATACAGGGTACTATCTCAATTCAATGAATTTGCAGATTACAATGAGAAAATGTGTAATCCTATCTTTGTTTACCTCTGAACTCCTGAGTGAGACATGGGATACCAAAATAACCATAGATACTAAAATTAAAGTCTATTATCTTTACCCAGCTGTGAAGAACTCTCAGATCTGGTCTCACTTAACATGATTTAATGTTAGGAGGCCTGGTTTTAGTCCCAGGTCCAATGTAAGATGCATCATCTTATTCTCTGTTCTCCAAATTGTAAAAGGGTAGTAAATTCTACAAGGAAGCCAAGACAATAAATTCAAATCGCATTTTTTGATCATATATAAGAAACACAAAATGGTATAAGAAATGCTTTAGGTTACGTGCAAGACACAGATCAATAACATTCCAAGGTATAAACTGTTTCTCAAGCTTCAGAAACGACAAGGGGTTTTGTAAAATAGATACTCACGGGGGAGCAATGCCCATGGCATGGAGATTGGCCAGGCCCACCATATTGGCATTACCAATGAGCCCTGGCTTCAGTGCTAGCTGGGCTTGGATACGGGCTTGTAATTCAGCTGCTTTCCTTGCCTTTTCAATGGCATCATTCATGAAAGTGGCAGCCTGGGAGGGCTGAATAGTGTTGCCAATTGGAAGTCGTTCTGGTTGGGAGGAAGAGGGAGTTTTTGGCTGTGAAGTAGAGAAAAAGAAATCAGAATCAGGAGTATTAGAGTTCTCTCTCTCTCTTTCTCTCTCACACACACACACACACACAACACACACACACACAGTGTGTTAGACTGTGGAGTAGAACACGTAGTCACCTCCTGGACTCTCATCCGAGAGGCAAGAAATTTTGTGCTAAAGATTCTTTCCAGGGTCCCATGAGCACAATACCTGAGGTGCAGGAGGGCTAATGAAACTCAGTTGTTTCTTCCTCTCCTCTATTTGCCGTGTTGCTGCCTCCATCATCTGTTTGATCTGCTCTCCAGGGTGGGGGGATAATAGAAAACCAGTTAACGTTTTCTTTCATACAGGTTTCTAAACCCAATGGACTTTCAGATCTAGAGACCTAAAAATGTTTTAAATAACAGCATAATATTCTTCCTGTACAATAGGCCAGAGAATTTAGGAAGGATTAATTCCTAAGGTAGGATGTTAAGTAGCTTGATGATTAAAACACTGGAGTCAGAGAGTTTGACTTGAGTTTGAATCCTAACTCTGTTACTTAGTATCTAGAGCACTTTGGACATGGTATTTCATCTCTAAACATTCCAGGGGTCTAAAAGGGTTAAAAAATAGTACCTGCCTTACAGAGCTGTTGTATGCATTTAAGTGACACATGCAACATTCCTAACAAAACCCATACAATTATTCTTTAATAAAAAGATAGGCTCTGAGTCCCTGAATTCTTAGTCTGGGTAACCAGAGATGATAGCATAAAGATGTAATTTAGCTGCGGAGAAGGATTCTAGCATTTGTAAACTTCTAGTATCTGTAAACTTCTAAAGAAGTTCAGAATAATAAACTTTGGGGATAACTCCTCTTGCATTTTCCCAAAAATCTGTCAAGATACTTTCTAAAATTCATTTTTAACATTTTTGGAGTAGGTGGTATTATTTACATAGTTCAAAAGGCAGGAAAGTATAAAAGGGCACATTGTAAACTCCTTTAACCCCGTCCTCTAAAAAACATCATCAGTTTCTTCCTTTCCAGAAATATCACAAAGAGATAAAGTCTGTTCACTGTCCATACATATGTACACATATATTCTATCTCCTCCAATGATGTTTTAAAATGGTTTTTAGGGCCTCCCCGGTGGCGCAGCGGTTGAGCGCTGGGTTGCGAAGCTGCCCGCGGCCTCTGCGGCGCCGGTTCGATCCCCGGCTGCTCCCCGGCCACCAGAGGAGGGTCCCACATGGCGCGCAGACCTCTCCTGCGGCCCGCTGCTCCCCTCAGCAGTGTACTTCGGTCCTTCTGCCTGCTCTGCTCCCCGCTCTGGCTCTGTGAATTCTCTCACCCTCCCGCGCTTCTGACTGTACCCAGTGCATGCATAAAAAAACAAACAAATAAATAAATAAAACATGCCTTAATAAAAAAAATTAAAAAAAAAATGGTTTTTTAATTAAAAAGAATATCTCATAAGAAACATCTCTTGCTTATATGGTATCAAAATTGTTTAACGGTGCCCATTTGAAAACAGATACTACCATATAAAAGCAAAGTCAAGCTGAAATTATTTAAGTAGATTATATCTTTTCCGTATTACAGTTTTCTGTCATCAAGCTGAGTTCTGATTATTTCAATTAATTTTCTCTATGACCCAATGAGGCAGGTAACTGTATGTACCACATCTTGCTTGCCCATTAACAGGTGCTCCATAAAAGCTACTTTTATGGCCCTGAAATGGAATACTCCTGATTAAGCCAAAGAATGATGAAACATGAAGCAGGAAATAAAAGTTCTCCAACACCAAACACTAATTCAAGTAAAATTACAATAAATTTAAACCCAAGCATCTCATTTCTTTAACTCGTGTCCAGCCTTTGCTTACTACCTGGAGCTTAGTGAGCATGCCAGGACTCTCTGATGGAGGCCCAGGGATCACTTCTGGTTCCTCTTCCACCTCCTCAAAACGGGGTATCCGTCGCTTTTTTACTCCTGATGATTCCTTGGAAATCTCAGAGTCATCACCAAACACTTCCTACGGGAACCAAAGATGACAGAAGATTTGTATTTCCTGCCCAGGGGAGAAGGGAAAAACCATCCTAGTCCCTATCAGCATTTGGTGGCTCTTCCCAGGGGACTATGATGCCATCTTGCAAATGGCTACTTGCCAGAAGTCAGTCTTCTAGACCCTCCAAGTGGACCACCTCACCCAATTTCATCATTCTATTCCAGTCAAGCAAATTCATCCCCACATTCATATAAATGTTCCCATTTCAACATCTTTGCAAAATGCTACTGCCCACATTTGTAATAATCTCCCTTAACTTTTCTGTGAAAATCCCAGTTCCAAATCCTGCCTAAAACTCACCTCCTCCAGGAACTTTTCCTCATTAATAATCTCATCCCACTCTGATCAAACTTTTGTTTCACATCCGCTTAGCACTTAAGAGGTTGGTTCACAGTAGGTAAAATTACATGGCTGATATTCTGCTTGCCAAGTGTTAAGTCTTCAATGTTAGTAGTTCCTCCCAACTACAGTCTACGCTCTGCCAGGACAGGGGCTGTCTCTCTTTTCTTCGCTATTCCCCAGTAACACTGTTTCTATCAAACAATGGGAACTCAAATATGTTGACTAATTTGCAAAGTGAATTTAACAGGACCAAGAGTGGCCAACTGGAAGGGACAATGGGAAAAAGCAAATGTACACACCGGTGGTAGGCTTTGGGTGACATCCCCTCTTCACTAGGAGGGCTCGTGTTTTGCAAGGACATATCCTCGGCCAGGGGCGAGCGCTTCCTGGAACTCCTACAGTTCAAGAAAAAGGACTCTCCCATAATATATTGTGTGGGGTGGGGACCTAAATGGACCAAAATGGGACCCATATCCCAAGGCTATCTAGATACCTCCTTCAAGTAACCATTTTTAAGCCCACCCAAGGCAGTCACTCATTCACATTCTGTCCTCAGCCCTTAGTATAGCAGCATGCCAATCTTAACATAACCTTCACGCTACAGAGTGGTGTATGCTGTGGATCAAGCGTTCCCCTTCAAATAGAACAAAACCCAACATAAGTTTGAGATTCTATAGTCAACTCTAAAATATATATATAAAACTAATACTCAGATTTTATAGTTTGTGCCTGTTTTATTGTGCTCTCACCCCTTAAATTCCTTTAAGGCAAGGACTATTTCTCATTCCTCTCGTCATTCTACAATACCCTAAACACAAAGGGCACCTGAAACTATTTCTCTTGGTTCTACAGCCTGCCAGAGACTAAGTAGACAATGCTCATTCCCTCTGTGCACATCAAGAAAAGCAATGGAACAGCCAAGGTACTAAAATCACTTGGGAAGGTTTGATGGGAGTCACAGAGAAGATTTTTTTTTAAAAGACAGAGAAAAATGAGACAGAGATCAGCTACTGACAATGAAAATATTGAAAGAGGCTACGACCCATCAGCAACTACAAAATCAACGGTGAAATATGATGGTCCCTTTAAGATGACCAGCAACATTCTATATAGCAAATGGTAGGTTCTCCAGACATACTTATTGTTATGTCTCCCATCTACAAGTCTGTTGCAGAGAAACCTCTAAAAAGGAGCAATAATGAGGTCTACAACTCAGATAATAGTGGAATCACATTCTCAAGCAATCAATTAGACTGCAAGCAAATCCAAGCATACAATCTTAGAGCTACTGTCAATTTATAGGTAGTAGTAAAGGAGGATGGCGGGACAGGGAGACATGAGAACCAAAACCCCTAACTATGCACGAAAAAGAGCAAAGCTACTGACTATTTTCTTGGAATATTTCAACCCATGAACTTAAGTAGCTCATCACTGTAAGGTGGTAATAATGCAAGTTCATCCCCTCTACAATGTCTAAGTATCTCTCTTGAACAGTAGATATTTTAATAGCAAATATCAAAGTGTGAGCCAGGTAAGCTCAGCAACTTTGTTACCATTCAAAACAATTCTGAGTTAATCAGTTAGTTCAATATAACCTACCTTTAGTTCTCTTTTTCTGCTCCTGTCACTGCTAGACTTGGAATGCCTAGAGCTCCGGCCTTCCTCCACAGCCTCAAACAATTTGTCCACAAATCGAAGAGTAGAATCATCAAGAAAAGGTTTCAGATGGTCTGAGAGGTAAAAAAGAAGCAGTAAGGTTGAAAACATTAAGAGCATTTATTCTACTACAAGACATATTAACACACACCAATACTGGAATTTCATCCCAGATGTAGGGAAATGTTTTATTAAGTTCTTTGTAGAATTCCTACAAATTCTCTTACATAGAGTGACCTTACCTTATGAGGTAACAATATACTTGTAATTTTGGGAATAGGAAGTACCATAGCAAGAGCAATCTGTCTGTGTCATGCATCAAAATTTAGGGTGCATAAAAACCCTAATGTTTCCCAAATAGCAAGTTATAGAAGACTACCCCAGAAAAAATCTCCCTCCCTCAAATTTTTTTTTTAATTTTTTTTTATAGAGGCATGCTTTATTTATTTATTTATTTATTTAGTTTGTTTGTTTTGTTTATACATGCACTGGGTACAGTCAGAAGCGCGGGAGGGTGAGAGAACTCACCAGAGCCAGAGCGGGGAGCAGAGCAGGCAGAAGGACCGAAGTACACTGCTGAGGGGAGCAGCGGGCGGCAGGAGAGGTCTGCGCGCCACGTGGGACCCTCCTGTGGTGGCCGGGGAGCAGCCGGGGATCGAACCGGCGCTGCAGAGGCCGTGGGCAGCTTCGCAACCCAGCGCTCAACCGCTGCGCCACCAGGGAGGCCCTCCCTCCCTCAATTTTTAAAATTTATTTTATAGAGACTCCTATACGGTTAGATGTCAGTCTGAATCTGACATTAAACTATTTCTTATGCGAATTACCTTAGGTAATTCAGTACAGTGGTCAAAGGTCAGTACAGTCTGAGATTTGACATATGCCACAAGGGCCCCCCTGGTGGTGCAAGGGTTAAAACACAATGAAGTTAACCGCAGCCACTACAGCACAAGTTCGATTCCTGGCCAGCCAGGGAGCAACCCTGGTGCAGCAATACATGGCACAGCAGACCTCTCCTGACCCGCCCCGCTGCTCCCCTCAGCAGTGTACTTCGGTCTATCTGCCTGTTCTGTTACCCACTCTGTCTCTGGTGAATCCTCTCACCCTCCACACCTTTGGCCTGTACCCCATAAATAAATAAATGTTTAAAAAAAAAAAAAAACAAAAACAAACTATGTCCCAAATAGTATAAAAAAATGTAGCAATAAGAGAGAAAAGCAAAATTATTTAAACTATTTCCATTGTAATGCAAGAGTAAATAAATTGTGACCTGATCTTTTTTAGATAATCCCAACAGAATTCTGGAAAGGTTCAAAGCGTTTGGGGCCATCCTACATGTGAAGTCAAAAGATTCAGAAAAGCACGCACCAGCAGCCTTCTTCTTGTCCATGCCCTTCCCCACACAGTTCAGTGCTGCTGTGACAACCGTGGGCTCTGAGAAACCCAGCACCCTCTTCACTGTCTTTTCTATCCATGGTTTCAGCTCATCCAGCTCCCTCTTGGACAGCGCCATTCTCCAGGAAATGGAGGACAGCGCAAAAGGGAATTAATACTGCACCTAAAAAGAAACCAGGAAAAGAGTTCAATTAGAAGGTAGGAAAACACTAAAGCAACTGCAGGCACTGGTGGAACATCAGGAGCGCATTCCCCGCCCATTCGCAACCTTCCCCTTCACTTCAGGTTAAGTGTTCTCCCGAAAACCACACTTCAAAGCAGAATGAACTCCATTCTATTCAATTTTTAACCCTAACAAGGTCAGTCTCAATGGATCAATGAAACTTGCAGACTAAACAAACAAATCCTAAGAATAACCTTGTCTGAGAAATAAGTTCTGGTTTCTTTCTTGATCCTACCATGTTAACAAGGACTGGCAAACAGAGTACATGAAAGAAGACTGCAGAAAGCCCACCCAGAGGCCAGCTTTTCTAACACACCTACTTGCAGGCAGGCATTCTGTAAGCCTGCTCTGACCTATAGGTTTCCCTTTGTTTTAAGGGATGCAAATAAAGGCGGATTTATCCAGGTCAATCATCCTTTAAAAATCTCATAATCCTTAATGTTCTGTTACAGATCTGGGTAGTCATATTCATCCCAGTGAGGATTCTGTACCCAGATAATTTTCTCTCATGTTCTACAGAGTCTCTCTCAGCTGACTTGGTAAGAGCAATCCCTCAGCTCAGAAAAAAATACCCTTATTTTGGATATACGCTTGCTCTCTTGACCTTTTCACATCTTCAACTTTACAGCTTAATAAACACTATCATAAAAGACACTCTACAACAAATCTTGTTATTATGCATACTAGTATAATTCTCAAGCATTATTCACGCTTACATTTTGATTTTCTATCTAAGTCTGAAAACTCCCCATGAGCCTAGAGAAACTTGAATTCCCCAATTTCCTCTATAGTGCCTCAAAGTCAATAATCTCCACTAACCTCAATTTCCAAGCTAATCTTCTCCAAGCGGTATCACCTCCCCCAAGCAACATCACACATGAGGTCAATCACTCAAGATGTTTTAAGAAATCTTTTCTCCTAGAAGAAACTACCTGATCAACTACTACAGTCTTGGTGTTTCTCTTCTATCAGATCTGCTGCCATCAGTGTATTTAATTTTGATGTAAATACACAAAGTGAGATTAGTCATGAAACTAGGAGTGAAAGATTTCGTGTCTCCGTGATACATTATATGAACGATCCTACGGTGTCTCTACTCACCCGTGATGAAACAGCAGTATACAGTCTAACAGCCTCTAGCATTAAGCGTGCACTGCTCAAAGCAGCACATTCAGACACTGCGCAAAGTAAAGAAGGAGCTCGCAGCCAACAGTCGGGATGGAAACCCTACCATTCTCCAGCCTTTGGGCAGGTAATTCCCCTGGGTTTAGTTCACCAATCTTCCACACCTTATCTTAAAACCTACATCATACTGACTTCATTCAATCAATACGCATTGCTTAACTATTGGGAGCAGCACGCTGAGTGTTGAGATTATTTACAACAGAAAAGTCAAGAATCCTCACCTGGCCCTTAGGGGCTTATATTCCACGATGCCGGACTCACAGCTACAAAGCAAAAAAAAAAAAAAAAACCCAAACAACACGACAGGTACCACCGCTATCTGACCTGGTAGGTGCCGGGTCAGAGCACCAACAACCGCTCAGGTTCAAGCCAGTTCTCCACGAGATGAGGTGCACACTCAGCCAGGGGGCAAACATAAAAGTTCCAAGCGGTAACTTCTGTCACTAATGCATTCAAGAACGAACAACTGCGCGGGTGGGGGGCCGCCGTGGAAGGGGGGGCAGAGATCTCTGGGAGCAGGGCCAACCTTCTGAGGAATCCCCCCACTTTGTGCTCTTCTGCGCCTCGGTTTCCCCGCAGACGCCCCCGTTCCCCCGGCTTTGCTCTCGGCGTCCCGCCGGCCCTGCCCACCCGGTTCTACCCAAACTCCTCAGCTCGGGGCCGGGTTCCCCACCTTGTCCCTTCCCGCCCCCGCCCTTTCCCCTCAGCAACCTCAGTCCCGCCGGGCTCCCCGGCACCCCGCGCTTCCCTCGGCCGCCTTCCCGCCGAGCCTCCCGCCTCGGGGCGCCCCGCGGACCGGGCCCCGGCCCCGTCGCTCGCACCCGCAGCACGCCGCCCGGGCCCGGGGCCACCACTCACCTCACAAACTTCAGCCCCTGAGACGGAGCCCGAACGTTACACCGGAACCGGAAACCCCGCGCGCGCCCTACGGCCTGCCGTCGCGCCGCCACGGCCGCGCCACGCCGCGCCTCCCGCCACGTGACCCGAGGGGCGGGCGCCGGCCGCGCAGCCGCAGGAGCTGCTGTCCGGGGCCCGGCGCATGCGCGGGCGGCGCTCGCGCCCGCAGCTGCTCGCACCTAGTCGGGTCGCGCCAGCCCGGCGGCTGCGGTCGGGCGCCGCGGGGTGCAGGGGCCGCGCCGCCTGCGGGCCTCGCAGTGTGGACGCAAAGTGCGCAGCGTTACCTCGGAGCGCAAAACGGGGCTTGTGTGTTCGGACTAAACGCGGCCTTTCCGTACCAAGTCGGTTCTTAGAGGAGCGATCACTCACTAGCGCTGACACCCCTACCTCACCTGGCCCCCCGACTTCACAGCGGTGCCAGAGGCGATCTAGGAAAGAGTGCGGCAGGACGCTTTGTCTGTCTTGCCTTCATGGACGACGCGCTTTATACGCAGCCTTCTGGCCTTCAGGTCTGGTCAGGGTGCTGCCCTCGGCCGTGGGGGCTCTTCTCTTTATTTATGCACACAAGAACTGGGGTGAAGGCCAGAGGTGGCAGGGGGGGGGGAGAATGAGAGGATTCATGAGAGACAGCTGGGAGCAGAACAGGCGGATCTACTGAAACACACTGCTGAGGGGAGCAGCAGGAAGACAGGAGAGGTCTGCGCGCCATGCGGGTCAGCTCCATGGCTGGGGATCAGACTTAGGCCACAGTGGCTGGCCACAGCTTGATAGTGCTGAGACTTAACCCCTGCGCCGCCAGGGATGCCCAGGTTTTAAATGCTTTACTGAATGTTTGGACTTTATTTGAAAGCAATGAGTACCAACTACTTGCAAATACAAGCATGAAAAGTAAAAGTTCAGGGTTGCATGTTAGAACAATCATTCTGGCCAACGTGGACAGGAACTGAAGGCCAGGCAATACTGACATAAAGGAGGTAAGTGGCTGCAGAGAGTTATGATGGTAGCTGGGATGAGGCCTGCAGCATTGAATCAAGACAGCTGGAAGGGGGCCTCCCCAGTGGCGCAGCGGTTGAGTGCTGGGTTGCGAAGCTGCCCACAGCCTCTGCAGCACCAGTTCGATCCCCGGCTGCTCCCCGGCCCCCGGAGGAGGGTCCCACATGGCGCGCAGACCTCTCCTGCCGCCCGCTGCTCCCCTCAGCAGTGTACTTCGGTCCTTCTGCCTGCTCTGCTCCCTGCTCTGGCTCTGGTGAATTCTCTCACCCTCCCGCGCTTCTGACTGTACCCAGTGCATGTATAAACAAACAAAACAAACAAACAAACAAATAAATAAATAAAAACATGCCTCTATTAAAAAAAAAAAAAAGACAGCTGGAAGGAATTAAATGGGTGCTGGTGCTGGCTGAGTAAGCAGGAGGAATCAATGCCATCTTTCTGGCTGGCACAACTAGATTATTAATTCCTAGATTTGTTAAGTTCTGTATGTGCCAGACACTATGCTAAGTACATGATAATGCGTTCTCTCATTTAATCCTCACCACACACCTTTAGATACAATTGTCCTCACTTTACAGGGGGAAACCATAATTTATGTTAAGTACTTTGCCGAGATCAAGACTGAACCCAGAAAATTTTGACTTGTTAAAAAACTAGCTGCCAGACAAGGCCTCTCAGCTGGGTCTCTGCTGACACCCACCATTGTTCACCACTCTGGTTGACAAGAACAATGGTCAGGACATTAGGACAAACAGGAGAAAATGTTCAGAGACAATTCTAGATCATTGCCATCTCTTAGTATTTTGGATGGCGTTCAGGTGCATCTTAATAACAGGCCTGACTCTGTTATCACAGATACACCCTGCATTTTGGCAGAGCGTAGGCCCATATTCTTCAGCAACAGCAGCTGGCACATGGTACCACACATCTTAATACCATCCAAAGTGCTGTGTTAAAGACCAAAAATCTGAGACTGAAAGGGATTCAGAACTATGAATGCCTAATTTAAACTTGTTAAAATGAGGGGCCTCCCTGGTGGTGCAGCTGTTGAGCGCTGGGTTGCGAAGCTGCCCACAGCCTCTGCAACGCCGGTTCGATCCCTGACTGCTCCCCGGCCACTGGAGGAGGGTCCCACATGGCGCGCAGACCTCTCCTGCCGCCCTCTGCTCCCCTCAGCAGTGTACTTCGGTCCTTCTGCCTGCTCTGCTCCCCGCTCTGGCTCTGGTGAATTCTCTCACCCTCCTGCGCTTCTGACTGTACCCAGTGCTTGTATAAATAAATAAATAAATTTAAAATAAAAATCTTTTAAAAAAAAAAATAAATAAATAAACTTGTTAAAATGAGGTTGTACAAAGGTAACAACATTGTAGGCAATATTTATATAGAATATCCCTAACTACAATGAATATTTCCAGAGGGTAAAGACCAGAGCTTTTATTTCTGTCATTTCTATGTAATGACCAACAATGCAATTTACCAAGGACCTAACTGCTGATCCATGGAAGAGGGTGGGGGAGCCAAGCCTGGAGAGGCAAGGAACGTAACGGCAGTTCCAGTACCTCTTCTCGCAGGCCTGCTTATTCAATAAGGATGTTCATTGTGAAAGCTGCGAACAGTGAAAAATCAGAAATTAAGACCGGAAAAAACCTGCAGCCACACTGCCGACCACAAGGGGGCAGCGACGGGACACGGGCGACCGGAGAGGCCGTGCTCGGCAGACGGCTCCCTCGGGTTTTGCCTTTTCACCACCATGCTGAGGGTGCAGCCAGGGCCGCCAGCCCTCTGGGCCTGCAGGGGTTGGCGCCAACTCTTCTCATGTTAACTCGTCGCCGGGCCCCGGGAGGGCAAGGCCGGGGAGGACGGGCAGCAGCAGAAGCAGCAGGGCAAGGGCCTTCCCACGGGGCTTCTGCGGGGTTTCAAGAACCACATAAGCCGGGGTGCTTGCCGGGGAGCGGCAGTGCGGGCAGCGGGGACCTCCACCTGGAATCTCTCCGTTGTTGTCTTTTGTCTTTTATCTTTTGGAATCTCTTGACTTACTAGGCATCATAGAGTCATCTGCAAGGCTTGTTAATAGATTACTGAGGGCCTCCCTGGTGGCCTGGGGGCTTGAGCGTCAGCTGTCACCACTATCACTGTGATGACTTGAGCTCAATACCAGGCCAGGGGGCTGACCCACGGGGCGCAGCAGACCTCTCCTGTCTCCCCGCTGCTCCCCTCAGCAGTGGATTTCAGTGGATCCACCTGTTCTGCGTCCCTGTCTGGTGAATCCTCTCACTCCCCACACCTCTGGCCTGTACCCCGGTTCTACACACACACACACACACACACACACACACACACACACACACACACACACACACACACACACACACAAAGATTACTGAGTGCCAGCTCCACTTGCCAACTCAAGCCTAGAGTAGGGACCCAGAATTTCCATTTCACACAGTTCCTCAGGCGTCGCTGATCTGAAGACCACACCTGGGGACCCACTGTAGGGATTTCTGGTGCTGCGCCCTCCCTTGCTCTCCCCACCCCCTTTCCTGCTCTCCACTTGCTGCTTTACTTCCCCAACCTGCACTTGCCTCTTCTCGAGGACAGCTGAAGGAGAGACGAGACAGGAGCAGATGTTAGATTGTCTTCCAGGACTTCTTCGTGCAGGGTCCCAGCATGCTTGTGCGGCTGACAGGCATTTCAGAACAATCTCTTCAATACACACGTGCTCGCTCTCCTTTTTGTCTCTCCTTTTGTTTTTTAACCAGTAAAGAGTAACAGATGCTTTTCCATTAAAACCTTGTTTTGGGTTCCATGAAACCGGGGTAGGAAGTGGTAGACATGTTCCCCTATGGTTTAGTAAATTTCCTCATCTCTCCTAGGCCACTTGTAAAGAATTGTTTATTGTAGTAAAATATATGTAACATACAATTTACCGGCTAAAACCATGTAAGCGCACAGCTGTACCCTTCGGGGCAGTGATCACCACCATCCACCCCCAGAGCCGTTCCACCTTCCCCAGGCCCTGGCCGCAGCACCCACCCGGGCCTACTCTGGCTTGCTGAGGCCCTGCTCGCTGCCCGGGGTTGCTTGCACACAGGCAGGCCGGCCGGCGCCCACATGGGGGAGCGCGTGGAGAGGTGAAAGAGGACCGGAGCTGGCGAAAGACAAGAGGGAGACACAGCGCTGAGGGGTTACTCTGGGCCTTTTATTCACAGGCCTCAGCAGCCCTGCCACGGGTCCGCCCGATTCCTCCTCATGAGGAAGGTGATCTTGCGCGCCATCTCCATGTTGTAGATGCGCCGGCACGTCTCGTAGCTCTCCCGCTGGCGCCGGCGGCAGGGCTTCTCGTAGTAGCGGCGCCGCCGGATGTCCTCCAGGAGCCCGTCCTCGCTGAGGATTCTGCGAAGCAGGGGCGGTTAGACGCTGAGCAACGCGAGCGCTGAGGTGGGGGAGCACCAGCTCCCACTACAGAGGCCCAGTGGGCGCATGGGGAAGGAAAGAGGCGACTACACAGTCCCCGTGTTGGGGAGTCTACAGTCAGGGGCATGCCCCACCTTTTCCTTCCACTACATCCCTGAGGAGCAGAACACAGCCCCCAAGGACAGTGAATCAACCAAGGGCCATTTCAGAAACTTCCAATGAGGTGAGTCGTGTACAGTAGGAAAAAAAAAAACCACTGGGAGTGATTCCTCCTTGGTGCGTAGTGGAGAAAGGAGTTCTCTGCTTGTTGTGATTAAGAACCAATGCAGCTAAAGTCTGAAGGTCTGAGAACTCTCTGGGCCTACTTAAATACAGGCAAAGACCATCCCATAGCGTCCTACTGGTACAAATGGGAACATTCTAGTAAGTCTCACCCACCATTTCCTCACATGTCCCAGCCGCGCTATTTGACTGACCACCCCTGACCACACTTCAACACCAGATACCTACTTAGTTGCATTCCCAGTCTAGAATGTCACCCCAACCCTCAGTTGCCAACATTCTTGCTGAAAAATTTCTGGCTTTTTGATGCCAAGGGCAGATGCCATCTTTCCACAGAACTTTCTCATGTTCTAGAGAAAATAATTTATTTTACTGTACACCTATTTAGCAAATATCTCATTCTGTCATTCCTTAAGTTAATTATAAAAACCTCTCTCTTTCTCATTAGAGAAAAAGTCCCTTAAGGGAGAAACCATGTTTTAATAATCTTACGAGTGTCCATAAAATGAAGCTCGATTTGTTTTTTCCTGCCCTAATTCTTTATAGACCTGCTTCTGTTGGATTTACAACAGCCTAACTCAAACTCACCTCTTTGCTCTCAGTGAGTCAAGACCCTGGGGCTTAGTCTATAACCTTAGTCTACGGGCCTGGCTCCATGCTGTACCTGGACTTTTCTTGACCCATCATCGCTGGTCCAAGGGGTCAGGAAGCACCTGCTGCCGCCCCCCACTCCTGCTCACCCTGTCCCTTCACTACATGGGAGAAGTAAGTCACGGGCACACCTAGAGATGAGGAGGTTGAGACACGGAAGACGGGACAGGAGGAGGAAATAAAAATAAGAGAAACTACGAGCTGCTCCTGCCCAGGGGGGATCCTATTTACTCCTGCCAGTTTATATCGCGAAGCCCAAGATAAGAACAGACTGAACATACACTGGGAAGAAGCTGGGCTTTGGGAAAAGTACAAATGTGAAGAGGCATGCTCACCACTGACTCCCGGGGCCCTCTCCGGGGCGCCAACTGTTTCCTATCAAGAATGACTCGTAAGCTACAGAGAATCGTATGTGTACAATCAGCTTGTCTGGTTTTAGCAGAGGGAAACGGAGGCAAGGGAATTACCGCAGACCCCAGAGCAGGAGCAGCAGATGATATGGGTTCTGCTGGAAAGACAGTTATGCCAAACACATGCTGCCTTTACGATAGAGAGAAAAGGTACCAAAGAGCAAGACAGGATTCAGGCCCATAAAGGATCTTTCTTCCTTAATTTATCCTTAAATGTTGGCCTCTCTCACACCCCTCCCCCTCCCCCTCGCCCTATCTCTACAGGCCTCCTAGACTGCCTTTTAATGAAGGCTGCTTCCAGAAGAGCCTATTATGTTAGAGAAAATACAGGAAAAAGTATCTGAAAAACTATTTAATTGGGCCTTCCTGGTGGTGCAAGGGGTTAACACGCAGCACTATGAAGCTATCTGCAGCCGCCGCAGCACAAATTTGATCCCCGGCCAGGGAGCTACCCACACGGCAGTGTGTTTCAGTAGATCCACCTGCTGTGCTCCCCACTCTGTCTCTGGGGAATCCTCTCGCCCCCGTACCTCTGGCCTGCACCCCAACCTTTGTTTGCATAAATAAATAAATCTTTAAAAAATAAGATAAATCTTAAAAAAAAAAAAAAAAAAAAAAAAAAAAGCCGGGCGTGGTGGCGCGCGCCTGTAGTCCCAGCTACTCGGGAGGCAGAGGCAGGAGGATCGCTTGAGTCCAGGAGTTCTGGGCTGCAGTGCGCTATGCCGATCGGGTGTCCGCACTAAGTTCGGCATCAATATGGTGACCTCCCGGGAGCGGGGGACCACCAGGTTGCCTAAGGAGGGGTGAACCGGCCCAGGTCGGAAACGGAGCAGGTCAAAACTCCCGTGCTGATCAGTAGTGGGATCGCGCCTGTGAATAGCCACTGCACTCCAGCCTGGGCAACATAGCGAGACCCTGACTCGGAAAAAAAAAAAAAAAAAAAAAAAAAAGTCCTTAAAAATATTCATTCACTTCTCCCCCTTCAGGCTAAGACCCAATTTATGGGCTACATATCTAACAGTCCAAGAGAAAAAATAGAAATGTTGCTCCCTAAAGAGTGAATCTAAATTGACAAAATAAGTATCCTCCTCAAAGACGATTCAAAACCGCTCTTCTAACACCTGCTCGAGCTGGCAGCTTCCAACCACACGCACTCCCCAGACTGCTTCCCAACAACCCACACAAAGTTCCTGTCTCCTAAATTCATGAGGAAGCCTGAAAAAGATCATCAAGCCTCAGCCCTGAGTCTCCAGGATTTGAATCTTCCTTATGATTAAATTCTTTTCTTTTTTTTTTTTTTTTTTTTTTTTTTTTTTTTTTTATTTTTTATAGAGGCATGTTTTATTTATTTATTTTGTTTGTTTGTTTGTTTTGTTTATACATGCACTGGGTACAGTCAGAAGCACGGGAGGGTGAGAGAATTCACCAGAGCCAGAGCGGGGAGCAGAGCAGGCAGAAGGACCGAAGTACACTGCTGAGGGGAGCAGCGGGTGGCAGGAGAGGTCTGCGCACCATGTGGGATCCTCCGCCGGTGGCCGGGGAGCAGCCGGGGATCGAACCGGCGCCGCAGAGGCCGCGGGCAGCTTCGCAACCCAGCGCTCAACCGCTGCGCCACCGGGGAGGCCCTAAATTCTTTTCTTTTTAAGCAAGGTAAATTACTTCCCCCAAAACCTAGTCCTAAATTAGTGTTTTAATCCCTGAAGGGAGGTAATTCTGGCTTCTTAGACTAGCTGACAGTGCCACAGGCAAAAATCTCTGAATAAATTTGATGCATCTGCCCGCAGCACCAATCCTGACTTGAGCAGAGGTGGGTGTGCTTTCCCTAACGCTGTAATCACGGCACCCAGCACAAAATCACCTACAATTTTAAGTGGAAAAAGAGAGAGACATCAAAGAAATCCCATGTTGGCTTACTACTATCGTTCCTTCACTGTCCTCTGCTGTTAAGGATAGTTCAGTGGAAAAGTTTGACAAGCACTAAAGTGAGAGACTGACAGAAGGTAAAGGAACATTTACCTCCACGGAGAAGACATTTCCTGAGCGCTCTCCACGCCAGCCGCCTCGGCACCAACAAGGGATACCCAAATGCAGACGCACAGGCCTCTGCCCTTGAGAAGCCAACTAGACCCCGAACGTCTACGACCCTGGCTGAATGTCAAAATCTCCTGGAAGAGTTTAAAAATACTGTGGCCAAGGGCCTCCCCGGTGGCGCAGCGGTTCAGCGCTGGGTTGCGAAGCTGCCCGCAGTCTCTGCAGCGCCGGTTCAATCCCCAGCTGCTCCCCGGCCACCGGAGAGGTTCCCACATGGCGCACAGACCTCTCCTGCCGCCCACTGCTCCCCACAGCAGTGTACTTCGGTCCTTCTGCCTGTTCTGCTCCCCGCTCTGGCTCTGGTGAATTCTCTCACCCTCCCGCGCTTCTGACTGTACCCAGTGCTTATATAAATAATAAATAAATAAGTAAATAAAAAAAAAAAATACTGTGGCCAAAATGAGTCTAATGAAGAAGGTGAAGGACCTAGACAGAACCACAAGATGTTGTGAAAGGATTTAGACCGTGGCATTAAAGGGCCTTTCCCACGCCTGGAGGAGGCGCACAAAGATGACAGGACGATTCTCCCTAAAGCAACATATGAATTGAAAGGAAACAAAGGTGTAACGTTACCTGACTTTACACTGTACTAAAAAGCAACAGTAATTTTTCTAAAAAGTGGATTAAAGATTTGGAATTTATGTGGGGGAATGGATTAGAGAGTAATAAATTTCAGTCTTATGTGTGGCCTTCCAGTGTTTCCAGCACCACTGTGAGAAAGGCTCTGCTTTCCCCACTGGATGTTCGTGGCTGCTTTAGAGTAAGCATTAATGCGTTTGTGGCTTTATTTCTGGACTTTCAATTCTGCTCCACTGACCCATACGTTTATTTTATGCCAATATCATATTGTTTTAATTACTGTTACTTTATAGGCCCATCTAAATCCACGAAAAGAAACAAACAGACAAAGACTTACAGGGAGAGATCCGAAAAAGTAAATAAGCTGCAAGACTTTACTTTTCCCAAATTCAGCATTTCATTAGTTAATTCACTACAGTCTAAAACACTCACTTTATGCTTCTAAAATAATGACATCTCAGTGTTCTTTCAGACAGGCCACTAGAAGCTCAAAAATAGGAAATACTTGGGAGAAGCAGTAACAGGAAAAAAAGAGGCTATCTTACCGCTGGGTACTTAACTGACAATCTTTACTCTCAACGTGACAATGCAGAGAAACAGCTCTGCCCACAGGTATGACTGGCAAACCCAAAGACTGAGGGCTTCCCTGGTGGCACAGGGGTTAAAGACACAGCGCTATCAAGCTATCAGCAATCCCTGGCCAGGGAGTTGACCCACAAGGCACAGCAGACCTTTCCTGTCTCCCCACTGCTCCCCTCAGCAGTGTATTTCAGTAGATCTGCCTGTTCTGTTCCCCACTGTCTCTGGTGACTCCTCTCACGACTGGTCTACACTCCAGTTCTTGTATGCATAAATAAATAAATCTTTTAAAAAAAAAAACCCACACAGAATGAGGTAACAGGCTGACCTAAGACCAGGTCCTTTTCCAAGACACCAAACCTGAGCCTACGACTCATTTACACAGCTTCACTTACTATGGTCTTCTGCTATCCAACTCGCCACATCTCTAACTTTCTGCTTTCGAAGAACTAGGTTCTCTTTTATTTGCTTTCTCAGTCACCAAGACCATTACCAATATTTAAACCTAACAGGATTAACTGAAAAGTGAACGCCATAGGTCTCTCCATATCCCGAGAAACAATTACCTAGTAACAGAGCAAAGATCGCTGCCCTAGAAAGCGAGGCACTTTATGCTCCTTCCCACCACTGTGTGACCTAGGAAATACAATTTGATCTTCCTAGATTTCCTCACTTGTGAAGTTACCACCTACTGGCCTTAAGGCAGAGCTTGAATCATATAATCTCTTAAAATCGTTTTCATACAATTCTTTGAGAATCCCACTAAAGCATTTGTTTCTCCAATCTCTGCTTCAAAATGGCGGAAGAAAATGAATGAAGCATGCCAGAAATCCTCACTAGAGATAAAGGAAGGGTAAGGAACTAATTTGCTTGAGTAACTACTGGCAAGGCATCTTCTCCTCAGGGTCATTGTAATCTCTTAGGCTGCCACTCAACCTTTCAATACAGCTCCTCCACTCCAGTCAGTTCCTTTCCATTTTTGTTTTTGCTTACGCAGAAACCTTCCTCTAAATCTGGAATGTTTTTCATCTCTTGCGTGCTTCTGCAAGATCCCAAATTAATGCATCTTTTCCATTGCCTTGTCCTACATCAACCCCTCCCTGTGCCTCTTTCTCTTTTTTAATATACATATATGTGTGTATATCTCCACACACGCAAAGGGCAGGTTTATTACATAAGAAAGGGAAAGGAGAAGACGGTGACACTGGAGCGGGCAGGAAGAGCAGCCCCTGTAAGGGACAGGTGCGTTCAGAGGGCCCACGCAGCGGCCCTCCTCCGCTTTCTATTTGTCAAGCACCATGTTCTTGCTTCCTGGCCACTTTATATCTTGATTTTCCCTTTTGGCTCTTGCCTACATGTTGAATTCAGGCTGCTCATCAAAGGGATGGCTGCTGATAATAAGCTTCATGCAGTCAGGCTTTGGCTAGAACTTTAAGATAATAAACTGAGGGGCTGAGAAGTTTTAAGAGACTCAACACCTGGGCTGGCGCCACTTCGAGAACAATGGGGGTGGGGGGAGTAAGACTCCCACCTTCCCCTCGAGAGTTTGTCCAGGCAGTCTGGCCCCTTCCACTTACCTGTTTAGGGTCCTGTATGCACCCTCGACGTTCCCTTCCTGCACCATCACAGTCCTAGCAATGAACTTCAGATGCTTCGCCATGACCTTGGATTTCAGCCTTCTCTCTGCGGGGCCGCGAGGCCGGTGGAGGGAGGGGGAGGCAAGCACAGAGACCAGGTCAGAAAAGCAACACAGAACACCTTCCGCCGCGGGACTTCCAGGTCTGGCCACGCAACGCGCGGGGCCCCGGGAGCCGGGGCTCGAGGACGGGCCCGCAGCCCGCAGAGGCCGCGCGACGCGACACCCGGGGAGGACGAGACGCCGCAGCGGGGCGTCGCCAAGGAGACGCGCGACCCGGCCCCGCGGCGGCCCGACCCCTGGAAGCCTGGGAGGCGCGGGCCGTTCTCGGGCCTCGGGGGCGGGACAGCCGCGCCCCGCGCCCTCCCCCGCGGCCGCCCGTCGCCCGCAGCCCGCGCCAGCTCCTCACCCGCGCCTCCCGGGCCCTGCGGCGCCCCGCGGCTCGCGACCGGAAGCGGAAGTGCGTCATCCGCCGCGCCGCGCGGGACCGAGGCGGAAGCGGGGCGCCCCGCGGAAGCCCCTGGTGCCAGCCTGGGTGCCAGCCTGGGCTGCTGCCCGCCGCGGCCGAGTGTCCGCTGCCTTGATTCCCCAGCGCAGGGCCCTCGCCTTCCCGGCGGCCCTCCCGCCTCTGAATTCAGCCCGACTCCGACCCCTAAATCTCACTAAATCTTTAACAGCTATTTAAGCCCCCCCTTTTTTTTCTGGAAGGAAAATGACATAAATTTGCGAAACTTGGGCCTCCCTGGTGGCGCAAGGGATTAGTTAGGACGCAACCTATGAAGCAATCGGTAGCCTCTGCAGCACGAGTTCGATCCCCTGCCAGGGAGCAACCCACAGGGCGCAGCAGACCTCTCCTGTCTCGTCCGCTGCTCCCCTCAGCAGTGTGTTTCGGTCAGTCTGCCTGTTCTGTTCCCCACTGTCTCTGGTGAATCCTCTCACCCCCCGCATCTCTGGCCTGTACCCCAGTTTTTGTATGCATTAATAAATTTTTTTTGCAAAACTTCCCAAGCATCCGTCCTGTTTCCTGTCAGCAAAAAGACATGGATTTTTTAAGATCCGCTTTCTGTATGAAAAACAGCGTCATATCCCTCCTCTGCTGAAAAACTAAGGAAAAGAAACGAAATAAACATACTGTGAGTTTCCTGTAACGTCACCTTTCAAGCCATTTCACTAAATAAAGTGAAATCAGTAAATAAAAAATTGAGAAACATCTTCAGGATTTAGAATGGAAGACGTTTCAGTTTCTATCCTTTTGCTTCCTAGTGGGACCTGTAGAAATATTTCTTTTTTATTTCTTCCTCACTGTGGAGACAGTCTCCTTTAATGTTACTTCTATATATCTACTTATGGTGATTTACATATATTCATATGGCTACTGAAAAACTTCAGGAAAAGATTCAAAAAAAGAAGATAGGCCTAAGCAGTTATTTGTGTAATAAGGTTCTGCCCCCCCACCTCCTGTAATGAGGTTCTTTGAGTACCTCCCCTAAAACAGACACACAGGTGCATCATCATCCATTATGCTAATAGAATTCACCAAAGCTGGAGCTAGATTCGGAATACACCAGGTTCAGTACCACAACAGAGCTAGACTGGGACATCATGGCACTTATCAACACATTTTTATTGAATACCTACCCTGTGTTAGGTACTGTTGATAGCATTTCAGTGCCTTGTGGGACACCAGAAGACAGTTGTAAACATAAAATAATAAAACAAGGTAGCATATGATAAGTACAAAATAAATTGTATAGGGAACGGCACAATATAGTGGAAATCCACTGGATTAGAAGTCAGGAAATTTAGATTCTATCCAAACTATCGTCATCGGGCAAATGACCTTGAACAAGTCACTTTAATCAATAGTCTGCAAATTGCAGGTCAAATCCAGTTCCACCCATTTTTTAAAAAAAGATTTATTTTATTTATGCATACAAGAACTGGGGTGCACGCCAGAGGCACAGGGGGTGAGAGGATTCACCAGAGACAGAGTGGGAGGCAGAACAGGTAGAGCCACTGAAATACACTGCTGTGGGGAGCAATGTGTAAGACAAGAGAGGTCTGCTGCCCTATGTGGGTCAGCTCCCTGGCTGGGGATGGAACTTGTGCTGCAGTGGCTGTGGATAGCTTCATAGTGCTGCCACTTAACCCCTTGTACCACCTAGGAGGCCCGTTTCCTGTTTTTGTAAACAAAATTTTATTGGAATACAGCTGTGCTAATTTGATTATTAGATATGGCTACTTTGAGCTACAACTTTAGAGTTGGGTATTTGCAACAGAGGTATATGACCCACAAAGCCTGAATTATTTACTAACCCTTGTTGACTCCTGTCTTAAACTGTCAAGTATTTCCTCATCTGTAAAATGGGGCTAATATCTGCCCTCAATCACAAAAATTTTCATGGGAATCAAATGAAATAAAATATAAATATACTTTGAAAGAAAAGAAGGGGAAAATACATGAGTTAGTCATGGTAAGAAGGGCGGGAGCAAATTAGCAGAAGCAGGAAATGCTGGGCAAAGTGAACAGCATGAGCAAGAATTGAGACAACAAAGCTTACAGTATTCAGTGACAAGCAGAAAGAACTGGAACAGAGGGAACATGTAAGGGAACAAAGGGAGAAATAGACACGTTGACTAAAGGTTTTGAATTTTCTTCTCAAGGAATTGGGGAGTCATTAGAGGATTTGAAAGGAAATGACCTGGAAAGCACTGTATTAGGAAAATTAAGATTATCAGTAAGTAGGAATTAGAGGTAAGAGAGGTTATTGGTATAGTCACAGTGTAGACTACAGAGGTGGCAATGGAATCGATAGGAAAAAAGGGATTTTATTTAAAAAAAATTTTTTAATAGAGGCATGTTTTATTTATTTATTTGTTTGTTTTGTTTATACAACACTGGGTACAGTCAGAAGCGCGGGAGGGTGAGAGAATTCACCAGAGCCAGAGCGGGGAGCAGAGCAGGCAGAAGGACCGAAGGACACTGCTGAGGGGAGCAGCGGGCGGCAGGAGAGGTCTGCGCGCCATGTGGGACCCTCCTCTGGTGGCCGGGGAGCAGCCGGGGATCAAACCGGTGCCGCAGAGGCCGCGGGCAGCTTCGCAACCCAGGGCTCAACTGCTGCGCCACCGGGGAGGCCCAAAAAAGGGATTTTAAATAACATTCCAAAATCAGAATAAAAAGGTGACTGAACAGCCCCAAGTTTTAAGTCTACTTATTTAGAAAAATATTGGAACCATAAATAGCACCAAAAGGAGGCTGTATAAAGACAGGGCATTTTTAAAGGAAAGAGACTATTTTAATTAGTGAGCACTGAAAAAAGCATCAGTGGATTAGAAAGCAAGAGTTCTGTTTTGGGGCCTCCTTGGTTGCCTAGGGGTTAAGTCTCAGAGCTGTCATGACTATGGCCTGAGTTCAATGCCCCCTATCCCAGCCAGGGAGCTGACCTACATGGCACAGCAGACCTCTCCTATCTCACCAGCTGTTCCCCTCACCAGTATATTTCAGTACATCTGCCTGTCCTGCTTCCCACTATATTTCTGGTGAATCCTATTACCCTCCCCCCCACACCTCTGGCCTACACCCCAGCTCTATGCAAAAAAAAAAAAAAAAAAAAGTTTTGTTCTGCCTTACACAAGCCACCTAAGTTTGCTTCACTATACAATGAGGGGGTTGAAATCAGATACAAAGGGTACTTCTTAGCTCTGAGATGCTGACCTTTTCAGTAAGTGTTTAGTGTAAGTAATATGTAAATAGAATTACCCAGCAGAGTGTTAGACATTCAGTATGTAATCTCAGGGGAAAGACTGGAACTGGAGATGAAGTTTCCACAGCCGCCTCAGTTGAGAGAATTAGGGCCCTCCCTGGTGGCACAAGGGATTAAGCACCGCACTATGAAGCTATCTGCAGCCTTTGCAGCATGCGAGTTCGATCCCTGGTAGGCCAGGGAGCAACCCACATGGCACAGCAGACCTCGCCTGACTCGCCCGCTGCTCCCCTCAGCAGTGGACTTCAATCAATCTGCCCGTTCTGTTCCCCACTCTGTCTCTGTGCCCCAGCTCTTGTATGCATAAATAAATAAATAGATGGGTCTCCCCTGGTGGCACAGCGGTTGAGCGCTGGGCTGTGGGGCTGCCCGCAGCCTCTGCAGCGCTGGTTTGTTTCCCGGCCGCCAGCAAGGGTCCCACAAAAATAAATAAATAAATAAATAAACAAATAGGAAAAAAAATAGAGAGAATTAAAGCCAGAAAAGATGAAGCCTTTAAGTGAAAGAATGTAGTTAGGTAAGAGTAAAGGGCCAAGGACTGAGCTGCGGGGAACACCCACACTCTGGAGGGAGTAGAAACGTGCCATTAAGAGATAGAGAAATTGGGCCTCCCTGGTGGCACAGCGGTTGAGCGCTGGGTTGCGAAGCTGCCGGCGACCTCTGCGGCGCCGGTTCGATCCCCGGCTGCTCCCCGGCCACCTGAGGAGGGTCCCACATAGCACGCAGACCTCTCCTGCCGCCCGCTGCTCCCCTCAGCAGCATACTTGGGTCCTTCTGCCTGCTCTGCTCCCCGCTCTGGCTCTGGTGAATTCTCTCACCCTCCTGCGCTTCTGACTGTACCCAGTGCTTGTATAAACAAAAACAAAACAGACAAATAAATAAATAAACATGTCTCTATTAAAAAAAAAAAAGTTAAAAAAAAAAAAAAGAGATAGAGAAATTGCTGTCAGATGGGTAAGAGGAATATTAGGATCGTGTGCTGGTATGGGATCCAAAGGAGGATTTCAGCAGGCTGCACTAGGGGTGTCAAATGATCTTGAGAGAATGAAATACATCGTCTTCATAAAGGTCCCTGGATCTAGCCATTGACTGGATGGAAGTTACATTATGATATTCTGAGATCATTGGTGACCTAGGAAGAGGCAGTAGAAAGACATCAATGGAGGTGAAGCTGCAAGAGGCTGAGTGCTGAGAGGCAGGGAGGAGTCAGGAAGGATATGACAAGACTCCTCCACCAAGGATTATGGAGAAAAGCAAGAAAGAGGACGAAGCGTCTCAATGGATGTTTTCACAAAAGGGCGACCTGATCATACTCATAAGAGCAATAAATAATTATTACTCAAAGGAGAAAGAATGGTAACTAACTCAGTAACAAATGAAAGCTGTAAGATAGAGGGGTAAATTGTACAGAAAAAGTTCCAGAGGTGAAAGGTCATCAAAAGCCCAGTGGAGAGAGGTTTGTCTTTCAAAAGTCACATTCTCAAAGAAAAAAAGAAAGAAAGAAAATTATTCACTGAGAACACAGAACTCAGGAAGCAGGGGGAACCTACCTGCCCACCTACCTGTGGAAAGCGCAGCCAATAAGCAGTAACTTGAACACCTGAGCCGTCCTATACTGCTAAAAGTGGGCAAGCATGTGGCTTCCCTGCAAATTGGGACAACTCAGGGTAATGCAGGCACAAGGGCAGACACAGGTCAATCACAGGCCTCACGTCCACCTCCCGGTAACACCAGTGCTCAGCCCTCTGCCGTCCAGCAGACATTTAGCAGCTGCCGCTTTTCGAATGAGGCTGAAGCCAGAGTTGGAGAGGACTCCCCATTCTGACAGTCCTTGAATGTCCCTACCTTTTAAAACTGGCAGCCACAGACGCTGTTCTGGCTGCTGTGCCCCTCCTCTGGCACATTACACCTGCCTTTATCCACAAGCCTCAACAGCCCTCATCGAAGAAGAACCTGCTAGCCTGGGCCAGCTGGACGATGACCAGTGAGAGGCAGAGCGAGTCTCTGAGCCTGGATGAAAAACAAGCCCAACTCTGAGCCCTGCAGCTGTCCCCGGTGTGTCCTGCGGAAACAGCAGCAGACGCTATCTTCCCCTCCCTCGCAGGCTTCTGCGGGCCTGCCCAGATGTCTAAGATGGTGGCGCTCCCATGCACAAGCGTTCCGGCCCCTTTCTCCTCCTCTGGCGCTCAGAGGATGTACAGTATTTGAAATAGAAGGTTTCCAATTTCCTGTAATCAGCAAAATGCTTAGGTATAAAATTGTTTTAATCAGAAAGGATTTCTCTTCCCTCAACACAAATGCACACATTAAAAGTAAAAAAGAGAGAGAGATTTACACAAATTAGAAACCAGAGTCCCAAGTCCTGTCAGGGGGTGAGAAGCCGGCCATGGGAAGCACCTGGAGGGGGGCTTCTCCTCCGTTCTAGGTGACCCACTGTCACCTTGCTGGCCACGCTGGGTGGGCCAGGGGGAGGCAGGGGACAGCTCCAGTCTGATGGCAGAGTTACTGGCAAACTGCGGCAACGAGACTCTTCTCCAGACAGTTTCTTGGGGCCACCAAGGGTGATGAGAGATGCTGTGGTAGGCAGAGATGGAGTGGCTGGGGCGGAGTGGGTGAAGGGCTGCATTCCAGGTTGGAGGAAAAGGATGACGCCAATGCTGGTTCCAGTGTCTAAAGGAGCGTGGCTGATGGCGATGGTACCCGGGGAACTAAGGGGGGGGTTGCAGATCGGGGTAGTGTGGATCCAAGTGAGGTTCATAGTTGGCCACTCAGTGAGGTGCCACGGCTGCTGTGGTTTCAACACTGTATGTCCAGGCTGAGCCTGCTCCAGCTTCTCCACGGGAGGGTCGGGAGAGGAAGCAGCTGGGTAACTGTGGTGGCTTGGAAAATGCTAAGAGAGAGAAAAAGAAAAATTAGGTGAAAAAGCTTTCAGACAAACTCAACCTGATTGTTTAAACCTTTACTTTCCTTGGGAACTCTGCAATGAAAATATATATTGCTTTCACGCAACAGTTACCTTCTTGGCAGGCTGAATAGGTAAAAGTTTTAGGAGACAGGGCTTGTTTGGTGGTGCAGGAGTTAAAGTCCTCTCCTGTCTCCCTACTGTTCCCCTCAGCAGTGTTTTTCAGTAGATTTGCCAGTTCTGTCCACATTCTGTCTCTGGCAAATCCTCTTAGCCCCCGAACCTCTGGCCTACACCCCTGTCACTTTATGCATAGATAAAAATAAATCTTAAAAAAAAAGATTTAGCAGACAAATTAAGCTTTTATTTATTTTACAAATATGTTAAGGCCTACAATATGCCATGTACCGTCAAAAGCACGGATATCCAGACACATACAGAGTCCCACAGGTTCTCACTACTTAACAAATAAGTTAGACCTTCTTTTAGACCTTCTTTTCCAAAGTGATAATTTCCCAATCTCTATATTTTAAGTTATAATTTCCTATCCTGAGTTTCTTTCTTTTTTTAAAAAACATTTATTTATTTATGCAAGTACTGGGGTGTAGGCCAGAGGCGCAGCGGGTGAGAGAATTCACCAGAGACAGAGTAGGGAGAACAGGCAGATCCACCAAAACACATTGCCAAGGGGAGCAGCAGGGTAGACGGGAGAGGTCTGCAGCGCCATGTGAGTCAGCTCCCTGGCAGGGGATCAAACTCATGCTTCGGTGGCTGGCAATAGCTTGATAACGCTGTGACTTAACTCTGTGCCACCAGGGAGGCTCTGCTGAGCTTCTTAAGATGTGTAAATATGAGAGCAAGATCCTCCTGTGAAATCTGTTACTCCTACAGCAGTAACAACTATGGTTGATTGAAAACAAGGACTGTCCATTCTTTACAGGAGACCACCCCCATCATATGAGTGCCCTCTAAATATCCCACTATTTGAAGCACAGAAAACAGGTCATTTCCACATTAGGTCATTTCCACACTAATAATCTACCAAGCACCCCCACACACATACACGTGCCCCCCGGTGCCCTCCTCTTGTGACCAGTCCTTGAAACCCAAGCCTCTGGAGAATTTGATGGAAAGATACTCTGGCAGGAGTAAAAAGAAGGAGAGGGAAAGGGTTTTAAGGGCAGCAGAGAAGGAAGAATTTGCAAAGATGCTGCGGCATCTTCCGACACAGAAGGCCACCACCTTAAACAGGATGGCCAGGTGAAAGCCTTCTGTGTCTGCAAAGAAAGCAGGTAAGCTGCAACTTGAAAAACAGGATTAAACTTCACAGAATTCTTTGTAGTGACCCAGACAAAACAGAACAAAGAACATCTAGGAATTTAAAAAAAAAAAAAAAAAAAGAAGGGCACTTGGGCATCCCTTTCCCTGGAACGAAGCTTCACTCTGAAGAATGCAAGCCCCCCAAAAGCCAAAGGAAGAGGAGCCCATTTCTTCTGTACAAATCATCTCCTCGGGTGCCTTCCCACCTCTTCCACAGCTTCATCAGTTCTTACCTTGGTCAGCTGCTGCCTGCTGCTCCTCAGCAGCGGCTTCTGGGCAACTATATGAGGAAACCAAGTCTTCAGCATCCCCTCTACCTGCAGCAGGGTTCCCAGGTATCGCTCCCTGTAAAAAAGACATTAAAATAAAAGCTACTAACCATGAAAAGAGAAACAAGACAGGCCTGCAGACACCTTTTTAAAAAAATAATTTATTTTACGCATACATACAAGAACTGGGGTGTAGGCCAGAGGTGCGGGGGGTGTGTGAGAGGATTCACCAGAGACAGAGTGGGGGCAGAACAGGCGGATCCACAGAAATCCACTGCTGAGGGGAGCAGCAGGGAGACAGGAGGTCTGCTGTGCCATGTGGGTAGCTCCCTGCCCGGGGATCAAGCTCGTGCTGCAGTGGCTGGAGCGAGCTTCATAGTGCTGAGACTTAACCCCTGCGCCACCAGGGAGCCCCCAATGGAGATTCCTTTTTTATGAAGTACTGAGGCCAGAACCAAGGACTTAGACCTACCCCATCTGTGGCTTCTGCAGAACACCCACAATCCGCTGGATTCTGTCCATTGCCACACTCTGCTGAAAGCTGCTCAACCCTGCGGCCAGGGAGAGAAAGAGATTAAGGGTTGAGATTCAAGAGTTAAATCAGGCAAAGGAAGGGCACAAAGAAGTTAAAATGATCCACCTAAACATATCAAGTCACAGAAGCAAAAGAGGAACACTATGTAGAAATACATGTTTAAAACATGTTTTCAGAGAGTTGAAGCTTGCACAAATGAATGCACCTAATCGGATAATTACCTCTCTCAAAGCGCCCCATCTTCAGCCCATTCAGGAGGTCTGTGAGAGGGCGAATGAAGCCCTGGAGCTCTTTACACTGTAGGAGACAGGACAAAAGCTATCAGAAGACCAAGCGCAGCACCGGCATCGATTCTCCCTCCATCTTCCAATCTGGGGGCCGGTGCGACCATAGAGGGTCCCCACCAGCCAGCTTGGGGGTCAGCCACTCCCCGGGGCCTTCTCTGCCCTCCTTTCTCTTACCTTCTGGGCAAAGAGCAGGTCTCCTTCCGTGCCACAGCTCTCAGCACTGAGACTGGCCTCCGAGTCATCATCCCTTGATCTTTTCACCCCAGATCCTGCTGCCGGAGAAGGCCAGCCCGGCTGTTCCCAGAGAGACGCCTCACGTTGACTGCTGGACACCTTGGGCCGCTGCCTGCACCGGACAGGACCTGGGCTGGAACGATGACCTCCCCTGGGCCGAGCAGGGTCTGGGCTGGGGCCTCGCGCCCCTTTCTCCTCCCCCTCGCCATGGGAGGGGGAACCCAAGTCACTGTTCACGGGGCAGGCGGGAGAAGAGGACAGGAGCGAGGAGCAGGAGCAGGAGAACGTGCCAGACGGAGACTCCATGGGCTGGACGCCGGGCTGGACAGCCGCTCCGGGAGTGGCCGGGTCAGAACCTGAAACAGGAGTGGGCGCGCGTCCGAGAGCAGAATCCGGGGCTGGGGGGGGGGGAGCCGGGCGTGCTGCGGGGGACCAGCGCTCTTCTTCCCCCCAACATCTCCGGCTCAGAGGCCACAGGGAAGTCACGCCCAGGCCTCCCGCTGCCGGCAGGACCCTGGACGCCCCTCTGGCCGGGCGGCAGCTCTGGACGTGCTGGCGCCTGGGCGCTGCCCCGGTTCACAGTGTACCCCTGATCTGAACCCCACCCCCTCCTGCCAGGCCCCCGCCTGCCACCCGCCCCCCCGCCCCCCCCATCTGCCGCCCCCTCCCGCCAGGCCGGCCCCCCCCCGCCCCCTCCCGCCAGCCCTCCCCCCCACCCCCTGCCCCCTCCCGCCAGCCCTCCCCTCCCGCCCCCTCCCGCCAGCCCTTCCCCACCCCCCCACCCCCACCGCCCGCCAGGCGTCACGCCGCGGGGCTCCGGTCAGCGCCGGCCCCGACACCCCCTGCCTTTCGGCTCCGGTACCCGCTCCGCCGAGGCCGGCTCAGTCGCGCCCGCCACGTGAGGCGCTCCTCCCCACACAGGCTCCGCGGGCGGCGCCGTCACGGGCGCCCCGCGTCCTCACCTGCGCGGTCGGGCCGCCGGGGGTCGCAGCTCCCGCCCGGGCGCCGCCGGTCCCCGCCGTCCACCTCCGCCGCGGCACGCCCCGCCCCTCGCCCCGCCCGGACACGTGCGGCGCGGCACGTGCCTTCCCCCGGCGTACACAGGCCGCGCGCCCTCATTGGCTGTCGGGCCGGCAGCACGTGACCCCAGCTTCCGAAGCTAACTCCCCATTGGTCACAGCCTACGGGGTTCGGCCAATCGAGAGGCAGCCGGGTAGCGATTGGCTGGGGATAGAGCGATCCGCGCTCCGCCCCTACATGCGGCCCGCGGAGCCCGGGTGGCGAGAGCTGGAGGGGGGCGGGCGGCGGGCGGGGCGCGTCACTGGCTCGCGCCGCTGATTGGCTGCGCGGCCGGCGCCCGCCCCGGGACGTGGCCTCCGGGGCCGACCCCGCGCCCCCTGCTCGGACGCCTCCGCTCACGAGCGCGGCGCGAAGGGGCCTCTGGGCGCGGAGCCCGCCCGCACGGCCCGCCGTGGCCCGCTCCGCCTCCGCGGCGAGCTGGGCGCCTCTGCCCGGCCGGGGGAGGAGGCGCCGCGCGGGGAACGCCGCGTCCTCGCCCGGCGCCCGCGGCGGCTCCCCCCGCGCCGCTTACGTAAGCCGCCGCCGCCGCCCGCGGGAGGTCACGGCGGCCCCGCCTGCGCGCCGGGCGCGGGGTCCCGAATCAGGGATCCCAGCGCGGGCTGGCGGGGACGATCCCGGGGCCGCGCCGCTGGCCCCTGGGGACACGCGAGCGCTCGGGGCAGGGCGGCCGGCCGGGGAGAGCCCGGCCCGGGGCTCCCGGCCGGCGGGGGCCGGTGCTGACTGGCCGCTCGTGCCTGCCCGCCCGAACTGCTGACTGGAGACGCGCCGTGTGGGGTGACGGGGAGCGGGGAGTGGGCTTCTAAAATCAGTTCCGGGGGGTGGTCGATGTTTCACACACATGTTTAATGACGGGTGGCCTCGTGAAAAGGGCTCCACGCGCACCTCGGCTCTCCCCGGCGCTCGGGCTTGGCTCACGTGTAGTGAGTCAGAGCGGGGGCCCTGGGGAGTCCGGGCCGCGCGAGCCTGTCTGTGGGGGCGCTTCCCCTCGCTGCCCAAGACTCGGCGTTTTCACCCCCCACGTCCCCTCCAGATGATCCTCCGCAAGCTCCCTTTCTCATCGGCCGCCCCCACATCCTTGCGCTCGCCTCAGTGTTGTGGCTTTAGAACAGATCCTCTTAGAGGAGCAGAGAGTAACCAGATTGTTCATTTATTTTTCTTCCAATGTCCTCTTCCCAAACCCCCATCCAAAGACTCCTAGCGGCCTTCTAAAAAAAGCAAAGAAAGGAAACAAAAAACAGGGTCAGGGTGCCAGGAAGCCCCATGGTGCCCCCCCTCGCCCCCCGAAAACTCCCCAGCTTTCATAGTCTAAACTGGATTTCCCCGTGACATCTGGAAGATGTGTCCCTTTCCCTCCTCATAGCTATTTAGGATCCCAACTTAAAGCCCTTTCCTGTATTATGGGTCTCTCTTCCTCTTCCCTTTCCCCAACAACTCCCCCATGTGAGGAAACCCCACCCCTTTCTGCCTCTGAACTTTGCCTCTTGACTCAGCCAGGTTGTAGGGTCCCGCCCATTTTGCCCTCTGGCACCTGTGAAGCCATAAACCAGAGCCAGACCCAAAGGAGCCATGATTCCCCAAGGGCCCCTGGAAACCTGGGGCTGCTTCTTTCCTACTTTGACTCTAGGAGGCCCCACTTCAAAAAATGTAATGACTCTTGTTACAAAAATCTTTGCCTCAACCTCTCCATCTTTTTAATCGTGATCCCTCCTCCGTTAAGCACTGAATATTGACCATGCTGGAAACACTTGCCAGATACAGGTTAAAATTTGCTTCAGAGCCCCCCCTCTCCCCCAGTGACTGCACTCTCACCTTCTACATGAAATACACCCCCCACTGAAGGAGGGCACAGGACAGGAGGAGGGGAACAGGACTCTGCAGACCGGACACAGCATCATGCAGACCTGGGTGCTGCTGAAATACAGACACCCCAGGGTCAGCCAGGGTCATCCTTCCTATTCCTCCCCTGCCCCCTTCAGAAAGTTCTCTTTACAGTTCTCCTTTCCTTTGAGGTTAGAGGAAAGACCTCCCCATCACGGAGAGAAGACCTTTCCTGTCTGCTTTCAGCCCTTCCCGACCATGCCAGGGAGTCCACACTCGGCTCGACATGTTGCTTTCATGTAACGTGTAGTCACTGCAAGGCGCTACAGGGGCATACAAGCGTGTTAAGACATGGCTCCTGTCTTCAAGGAGTTTACAGTCCAAAGGGAAACCACTATAGACTTTAAAATACTTACCTGTGGTTACCATCAACCACTGCTTTCCAGTTGTGACTCCTCCCATCTGTGTCCAGCTGCACACAGGCTGCATGTTGGTCCTGCCGCCCCTTCTAGCTGCTATTTTTCTTTTTCTCATTTCCAGCTCTTACCAGCTTTCTCAGATTGCTGGTCTGAACTCTCCACTTCCTCATAATGAACTCCCTCTCTAACTTCACAAAATCTAGCTTTTGCTCCAACTGCTCAGTTGCAGCTGTTTTCTTTGGGGCCGCCAACTACTTCCTTTTTCTTGGTCTCTTGGTAGTTTTCAATTGATTATGTTAAACTTCTATTTCAGACTCTATAATGCAAATGTGAAAATCTACCTCCTTTTGCAATCAAATCTTCTATATCTTGATTCCTCTTCCTCCTGCTGACTATAGGCATAGTCACTGCCTTTCATCTTGTATATACATCTCTGTTGAGGTCATCTGCTTTTGTGACTGTGACTTTGCATTTAGAACTACAGACCTAGGGCCTCCCTGGTGGACTAGAGGCTAAATCTCAGTGCTGCTATGACCGCTATGGCCTGAGTTCAATCCCTGGCCAGGGAACTGACCCACATGGTGCAGCAGACCTCTCCTGTCTCCCGGATGCTCCCCCTCAGCAGTGTATTTCAGTAGATCTGTCTGTTCTTCTCCCCCACTCTGTCTCTGGTGAATCCTCTTACCCCCTGCATCTCTGGTCTACACCGCAGTATGCATAAATAAATAAATCTAAAAAAAAAATGAATGCAAACTTGAAGCCTGACACTTCCGACTCTAACTTTGTTCTATCTTGCCATGTTTGAAATGACCAAGCAAATATTAGGAGCCTTTTAAATTCTGTTTTTTTTTTATTGCTGTTCCTTTCCATACAGACCCTCTTCCTTCACACCCCGTTCATTAACCATGCCAGGCTTGCCCTAGCCCCTCTCCTGTGCACTCTTCCATTCTTAAAATTCTTCCTCCTAATTGCTCCATCCTTTCCTAACTTAACCAATTGAGAGCTCACCTATTCTTCAACATGTAGCTCAAACACATCACCTCCTAGAAGTCTTCCAGACAGGTCCAGCCTGTCCTAGCTTCTCTTCCTACTGCTAAGGCACATCCTATGCTCTTTGTCATATACTCTAAAATTTACATGTAACTTAACATTGTTACAAACCTTTTCATTTTGTTCTAAATGTTTCATAGTGTAAATTTGAGTTTTAGAAATACTTTGAGAGGGGCCTCCCTGGTGGCCAAAGGGGTTAAGACATAACCTATGAAGTTTGCTGTAGCCACTGCAGCACAAATTCGATCCCCAGCCAGGGAGCTGACACACATGGCGCAGCAGACCTCTCCTGTATCCCCCGCTGCTCCCCTCAGCAGTGTTATTTCGATCGTCTGCCTATTCTGCTTCCCACTCTGTCTCTGGTGAATCCCCCCCCCACACACACACACTTCTGGCCTGTACCCCAGTTCCTGTATGCATAAATGAATAAATCTTCAAAAAAAGAGAAATACCTTGAGGGCAATAGAATCAGCAGCAGCAGCATCCTAGTACTTTGCTCACAGGTTACATGAAAATTGAGAGCCACTGCACTGAAATTTAAGGCAACAAATCTTCCTGGTGTTCTGCATACAGGTTTAGTATTAAATCTCAGGGAAACATGCAATGTCTGGGCTGAAGCTCAGGAAACATACAAAGTCTCATCTGAATCTCAGGGAAACATACACTGTCTCACCTGAATCTCAGGGAAAGATACAAAGTCTCAGCTGAGATGAACACCTGCTTGGTGGGTCCCTCTTGGCCCAGCCTGGTATGCCAGGGTAAAGCCTGTCTCCTGGGCTCCCTTCCCACTTCTTCCCAATCCACTTACCAGTTTCGGCTCTGGGGTGGCTGCTTTCACTGTCTCATGTTTCTGATGGTCTGTACCTTCTGTCTCATGACTGATGGTGGTACTGATGGTGGTTGTCTCTGCTGTTTCTGTTGCCTCCTTATCCAGCCTGTTCTGCCCTCCAGAGGATTAGAAAGCAAAGTATCATCATGGCCTCCATCCACTATTCCCCTAGACTCTACTTTAGTTCTTTTTCCACTTTCCCTCTCCAGCTGCCCCCACTGAAGCTCAGTGTCTTCCCTCCCTGCTGTAGGCTTGCACTGTGTTCCCATCCCACTCCCTGCCCCTTCCTCTCAAGTGTCTTAGCAAACCTGCCAGGTTCTGGTTTCGTTCTTCTCCTCAGGGATCCTTAACAAGTTGGTTTTGGGTCTACTACCTAGTTTTGCTTCCTGTTGATCACTTCCATTTCAACATATCCCGGATTATTTTTAGCTGTCCAGTCCTATAGAGGTATGTCACTCACCAGCCTGTCTTCTGACTCAAACATGGAGTAATCAACAGTGAAATTTACAGCAAAGTCATCTGGGGAGGAGGAAAAAAGTCAGCAGTAACAAAGGAGAAAGGTAGCTCTGAATGGGAAATGAGAAGAGGAAGGAACTGCTCAGGACACTTAACTTGCTCAAGTTGTAATGTTTACAACTATCCTCTAATTCTAATGAATTTCAATGTTCACATGTTTGTGAATGTGCGTGTATTTATATTTTCACTCTAACATCTGATATAGTTTACCCTTTGCAAATTCCCATGTTGTTTCAACCAGTTTCCAAATAATTCAAAAATAACATTGTGAGCCTTGGTAGTCTTCACCCGTAGCCAACTTCTCTCTAACCCAGCTGCTCCAGTGCAAAGGGAAAGCTGAAATCTCAGAACTGAGTATCCCCCAAACCCCTATCTATCCAGGTAAGGGTCAGAGCCTGGCTCACACTCACCATAACTAGGGGTGACTGTGTAATAATACATGATCTGATAGTAATCATCCTCTTCCAGTATTCCGTCCTCATATTCTTGTCCTATGGGGATAAGGACAAGAGGTCAAGACACAGCTGGAATTCCTTAGGGACCAAAGGACTGGCTCAGGCCCCTGTTTCCTTTCTCTCTCCAACGGTCATGCTCTTTCCCCACTGCCGCCCTCCAAGTCCTTCTCAGACTCTGGGTTCTGTGTCTGTGATGAGGCTGGTGACTCTGTGCACTTTCAAAACAGGAGCTCCCAGGACAAAAAATGGGTCCCTTCACTAACTCCCAGAAGAGAACCAAACCTAAAAAAAGTAGGAAGCAGAGAGCGATCCCAGATTAAGAACTATAAACTATTCAATGTGCTCCAGACCTTGTCGTATTTGTGAGCGAGGCTCTCATCAGCCTCTCTCACAAGCACCTGGCACGCACACATCCCCGTGTGCTTCGCAGCTTGGGTTTCAGCTCCAGCTTCCCTGCTCACTAGGGGAGCAACTCCGAACCAGCGATTTAGCACCCACTTTCTTAAGAGGAGTCAGCTGGACTAAACGACCTGTCTACAATGGTTTTTCTTTCTTCCCAAGACTAAAAATACTTGGCTTTGACGTGACTGGATCCCAAACTCTAGGTCTCCAAAGCCCTCCCCTGAGCTCCTTGAATGCTCGCCCTTACCCCTGAGCAAGGACAGAGTCTGGAGGAACAGGAAACAATGACAGCACCTAGCAGCTGGGGACAAAGGAGGGAAGGAACTAAGCTACTTCTCTACTCCAAAGGTCCCCCCACTTCTGTGTGTTTACTGATGCAAGATGTTTGTCTCCATCTGTCCAGGAGAGAAGACACCCTGACTTCCCTGCCGGTACCAGGCTGCCCTCCCTTCACAACCCCTCTCTCGCCTTCGGTCTCTCCTTGGCCGCTCTCACTTTGTCCAGCTCTGTGGTGACGGCGAGCTGAATGCCATCTCATTCAACAGCCCCATCTTTGGGGCGACTTCCCCATCAGCCTTCTCTTCTCTGATGGGACTTCCATTTCCTCCCCCTTTCCTGGCCCATTTTCCAGATCCCTGCTCAGCCCCCAGCCCTGGGCTCCAGCACAGAGGAGAGCGTTATCACTTCTCATTGAGCTGCACTGCTCATCTTCTCACTTTATCCCCTCTCCCCCATTTATGCTAGAAGACCTCACCCAAAGGCTCTCAGAGAAAAGCACTTACCAAGGATAAGTGGCAGAGCAAGGATGGCCGCAAACAGGACATCCATTCTGGATGCTGCACTACTGAAAGCAGAAAAAGGAAATTACAGCGTTTCCCACCAAGCTCAGCCCGCCTCCTGGGAGGGAGCTGCAGCAACTCCTCTCCCAGGCGCTGGAATTCCCCGCCCCCCCAGTCAGCCAACTACATCTTCAGTTAGCCCGGGTCTGGCCCTCGGCCACAGTGGCCCAGGCCTAGACAGGACAAGTGGGTATTGATGGAAACATGTGTGATGAGCTCCCCCAAATTAAATCCATTCAGGATTCCAGATGCCGCCCCCCAAACTAACACCCCCAGCCTACCTTTCCCAGGCCTCCCTGAAAGCTCCCCCTCTGCCTCTCTCCTTTCCCACCCAGAGTTGCCCTTCTCTCCGAGGCTTAATAACAAACTCTTTCTTGGGGCCTCCCTAGTGGTACAGAAGTTAAAGTCTCAGCGCTATCATCGGCAGTCACTGCAGCACAAGTTCGATCCCTGGCCAGGGAGCTACCCACAGGGTGCAGCAGACCTCTCCTGTTGCGCCCGCTGCTCCCCTCAGCAGTGGATTTCAGTAGATCCACCTGTTCTGCTCCCCACTCTGTCTCTGGTGAATCCTCTCACCCCCTGCACCTCTGGCCTGCACCCCAGTTCTTGTATGCATAAATAAATAAACCCTAAACAAAACAAAAATCTTTCTTCACAATCAGGATGTTCTGAGGAAGGAATACACTTTCTCTAGACTGAAAGGAGCCCTCTCTCTGCCGCCTGTCCCATTCATGAAGTGTGTGAGGACATCAGCCTCATCGATCCTCAAAGCTCATGTTCCCTGGCTTCTGATAAAAATCTCTCTGTCAAGTCCAGTTATTTCCTCTCTGGTAAGTGCTGACCTTATGTCACCTCTCTCAGCTTTCTGGACACAGGAGGGAACAGGGGAGGAAGCAGCTAGTCTCTCCCTGCTGGGGGCGCTGCACCCCTTCTCCCACCTTCAGTCATGTGTGTTCATTTCAGACCACAGGGGTAGAGTTTGCCTTTTGTTTTTCCTTTCAGATTGCAAATCTTTGTTACTGGTTTCAAGAAGAAAACAAGTGGCCACACCTACAAACATGGACGGCACCCCCCCCCCCTTCAGCGGGCAGGGTGGGGAAGCGGGAGTAGGCCTGCGGTGCGCCTTTCTGCCCCAGGATCAGCTGGGCCAGGTGTGGCCACCTTCTTTCAGCTACAGGCCCCGACACTACTTCACCCAAGGGAGTCCAGAGTGTCAGCAGCGGGCAGGAGGCTAAGCAGCCAAGGCCTGAGGGAGCCCAGGTGTGAAGTCACCGGGGGGCCCAGGTGTGATGTCACCAGGGGAGCATCCCGGGCTGAGGTTTCTGCTGCTGGGATGTCACCACAGCAGAGGATGGCACGAAGTTACCATCCCCTGCAGAACTACGCGGTGAAGCTTAAGCTGAGGAAGGAGCAGCAGAGGCCTCCTGCACACACACCACTTCAGCTTGAGCAGGAGCTGCCCCTGTGGAAGGCCGTGCCCAGCACCTCTATGTGGCCCTTCTCGGCTCATGCAAGGCCGGGTTACACTTGCAGGTTAGGCTGGGCAGAGGCCCGTACAGGGGCAGGCCCGAGGGGCAGGGGCACCAAGGCCTGCCCCTGAGAGGGACAGGTGTGTCTCCGGATTCCGACCCACAATCCAAGGTCCTCCCATGATGCTGGGGTCCTCACCTTAGCACCTGGTTGGGCCTCTGTGGGTCCCACATGTTGTTCATGGACATGGTCAGTGGAAGGCCCAGTAAAGCTCCTCTTACCACTCTCTCTGCCCATCCCTCCTTCCTTCCTTCCCTCCGTCCTTCTCTCTCTCTCTCTCTCTCTCTCTCTCTCTCTCTCTCTCTTCCTCTTAAAGGACGGGTTTATTAGAAAAGGAGAAAGAAAAAGAGCAGCACCTGCATAGTCACGGGCGGGCAGGAGAGTGGCCTGGTGGTCTCTGTCTGGAGCATGCGCAGTGTTGCGCAGTATGTGCCATCAATTAAGTTTCGCTTTACCGTTTCGCCTTCTGAGAAACCACAGGTTTTTCCTGTTAATCAAATGCGACTGGGAGGTACGATGGGAGGAGCTACCAGGATATAAGAGGAGAAGGCGGGAAAGAGGAAGAGAAGAGAACCACGAGAGAGGAGAGTGCTGCAAGAGGAGCAGAGAGAAGGCCAGGGAAGAAAGAGAAGGAAAAGAAAAAATAAAGAAGCATCCGCTAGCGTCAAGTTGTCTCAAGTCCCTCATTTCAATCCTCAGCCCTTCTCTTTTCGTGCCTACGAATCCCGCGGGTCGGGACAGTCTCCATTTTTCATTCGGCTCAACTCAGAAATATTAGTAACATCTGGGCAGTAACATTGGGCATTCACGGTCTGCAGACAAGGGAATAAAATAAGAATAGTTACTTCTCCCCCCACACATACACTTTTTTTCCCTATTTCTTTCAGAGCTGTTTTTTAAAAGGAAATCTTTAGTCAACATCTATTGTTAGCCAGGCCCTCTGCAGGCCTCCTTGGGGCGCTGTGAAGCAAGACTGGCGTCTGCTCTGTCACTCAGAGGGAGCTGTGATAATTTTTTTTAAGGTTTATTTATTTTTGTATAAGAGCTGGGGTATAGGCCAGAGGTGCGGGAGGGTGAGAGGATTCACCAGAGACAGAGCGGGGAGCAGAACAGGCAGACTGATGAAATCCACTGCTGAGGGGAGCAGCGGGAGAGACAGGAGAGGTCTACCTCGCCATGTGGGTTTCTCCCTGGCCAGCTGGGAATTGAACCCATGCTGCAGAGGCTGTGGACAGCTTCACAGTGCGGCGCTCAACCTGCTGCACCACCAGGGAGGCCCCGGAAGCTGTGGTAGTTGCCCACAGGGCCCTGAAGTCGGAAGCAAGATCCCTGCAGTCTGGAGTCCTGGCTAGCTCGCCCATCCTCTCAGCCATGTTGGTGGAGATTTACTTGGCTATAATCTATCCCTCAGCGCCTTTCCAGGACTTCATGGAAAAAATGTAAAAACACTTCTGTGAATGTGCACATATGCATCATATCATGAATCACTTTCAGGAAGAAAAGGAAGCCTGGTTCCCTTTCAGCAATTTCTGTTGTTTTCTCGGTTCTTTGATTCTCAAAAGCAATCATCCAGTTTCCTTCACTTCCCCATCCTGGTCCTCTCTCCCTTAAACATTCGTCCTAAGAACTAACCCTTCCCCTCCAACACCCTCCTCTCCTACTTGAACTTTCTTTGATCCTAATAATATGCAACCTCTGCCCCTGCCCTCAGTCTGAGGAAAAGACACTACAGTGATTCATTTTCAGAAAATAAATAGAGGACGCATGACATAAAAGGAACCCAGTGACCCCGGCGGGTGGGTGGGCGAATGTCCATTTCCTTCAACCCATTGCTCCAGTTGCTTTTTTTTTTTTTTTAGATTTATTTATTTATGCATGGGTACAGGCCAGAGGTGTGGGGGTGACAGGATTCACCAGAGACAGAGTGGGGAGCAGAACAGGCAGATCGACTGAAACACACTGCTGAGGGGAGCAGCGGGTGAGTCAGGAGAGGTCTGCTGTGCCATGAGGGTAGCTCCCTGGCCGGGGATCGAACTCAGGCCCCAGTGGTGGGGATAGCTTCATAGTGCTGAGACTTAACCCCTGTGCCACCAGGAACTCCTCCCCCAGGTGCTTTTTTACAAACAATCCCCACTCTGAATTTAAACTCTGAATCTCCTCTAGCCTCCTTCGGAACACCGCTCTCCAGGCCCGTCTGGTTTCATTCGGACGCTGCTCATGACAGATGAGGGTTTCATTAACCATATACTGTAAGGCATGTTTCCTAGCCTGTTCAAAGAGCTTCTACTTTTAACACTAACTTTCATGTCTCCGCAGTAGCTCATCTCCGGGCATTTCCTCTCATTCAAGTCAGAACAATACCCGTCCCTATCTCTGCGCACCCCCTATCCTGTGCTCTCTTTGTACTTGTCCCTTAAGCACCAACATGACCTTCTCCCCTCTGCAGCCCTTCAAGAAGAGGTAAGATCGCTGTCACTCAGCCCCCCAAAATCACGTAAGGAAACCGCAGCCCAGGCCCAACCGAGCCCAGGATCCGAGCCCGGGCCAGGCCCATTCCGGTGACCCGCCCCAGCCGCTCCCAGACCGAGGTCGCGACTCCGGGGGCGGCGGGACTACAACTCCCGGCAGGCCGTGCGGCCCGGGCCCGCCCCCGCCCCGCCCCGCCCCGTCCCCATTGGCCTCGGGGGCGGAGATTAGCGGGGAGGCGGCCAAGGGGCTGCGGCCGGGGGTTATCCCCTCCTCGGCTTCCGTAGAGGAAGTCGCGCGAACCTGTATCTGGGATTTCTGTGCCCCCCTTCCCCTTCCCCTTCGCGGGGTCCGGGGGTGACATTGCACCGCGCCCCTCGCGGGGTCGCGTCGCCGCCCACGCGGACCCCTGGCCGGGCCCCCGTCCGAGTCTCCGGGCCGGGCCTGCGCCCCGCCCCCAGCCGCCCGCCATGGGGGCCGCGGTGTTTTTCGGCTGCACTTTCGTCGCCTTCGGCCCGGCCTTCGCGCTGTTCCTGATCACGGTGGCCGGGGACCCGCTTCGCGTCATCATCCTGGTCGCGGGGTGAGTGGGGTCGGGAGACGGGAGGGCGCCCACGGGAGAGCCCCGGCGGGGCTCGGGGGGCCCGGGGCCGGCCCGGGAGCCCGAGTCGGGGCACGCGAGTCCGAGGCGCTGGCCGGGGGGGCGGGTGGCGCCGGGCCGGGGCGTCCTGCCTCCCCGCGGCCGCTTCCGCCCCGCAGCGCCCCGATTCTTCCTCCTCTCCCGGCGACGTCAGAGGCCCAGGACCTGACTTCCCGGGAGGGCCGTGCTGACCTCCGCCGGCCGCAGGGCGGACCGGCCATGGACGCCTCGTCCTCTGTGCTCGCACCCGGGCGCGCTCCGAAGCCTCTGACCAGATCCCTCTGCCTCTCTCCGGCTAGATCCCTGCCAGATTTCCGCGGGGGGAGGCTCCTGCCTCCTCCCTGGCCCCCAGACTGTCTGGAAGTCTCACTCCACTTTTCACCCCGCGGGCTCGGTTGGTTCCCCACCTTCCTTGCCCATCTGACTGCCCTTGTCTTTCCTCAGGGCATTTTTCTGGCTGGTCTCCCTGCTCTTGGCCTCTGTGGTCTGGTTCATCTTGGTCCATGTGACCGACCGATCGGATGCCCGTCTCCAGTATGGCCTCCTCATTTTTGGTGCTGCGGTCTCTGTCCTTCTGCAGGAGGTGTTCCGCTTTGCCTACTACAAGCTGCTTAAGTAAGAAGATGGGAGGCCTGGAGGGGCGAAGGGCAGAGGACTGCACTGTGAGAAGCGGGTGGTGGTTGGGGAGAGGCACTGAGGGAGGACATTAGAGGGGAGGGAGCTTTCCTACCTTCCCTCATGTGTCCCCCACCCTGCCTGCCCATCCCACCCCAGGAAGGCAGATGAGGGGTTAGCATCGCTGAGTGAGGACGGAAGATCACCCATCTCCATCCGCCAGATGGCCTATGGTGAGCCAGGGGAGAGGGGCTGGAGGAGGGACTTGGACTTCCCCGGGGAGAGACTTCCCCAGGGAAGTCTCTAAAACAGCCACATGCTCTGAATTGCTTCTTGATTCCTTCATACCTGACTTCCAAGGAGAGGTGGTGTGAAGGGAAGCATAGGTGTAGGGCGCCGGGGAGGGTCATGGTCTCCTGCTATGGCCCTCTCTGACATTGATGAGAACCTCCCTCCCCCCAGTTTCTGGTCTTTCCTTCGGTATCATCAGTGGTGTCTTCTCTGTTATCAATATTTTGGCTGATGCACTTGGGCCAGGTGTGGTTGGGATCCATGGAGACTCACCCTATTACTTCCTGACTTCAGGTAAGATCTGCTTCCTGTTGTGCTCATGCCCCTTGTCCCCTGGCCCTGGTCTGAAACGGCCCTCCCTGGGAGACTTCTTGGCTCAGCATCTCAGGAGTGAGAGAGTGAGGGACTGTCTCATCCTCATCTCCCTCCCTGCAGCCTTTCTGACAGCAGCCATTATCCTGCTCCACACCTTTTGGGGAGTTGTGTTCTTTGATGCCTGTGAGAGGAGACGGTACTGGGCTCTGGGCCTGGTGGTTGGGAGTCACCTATTGACGTCAGGCCTGGTGAGTTGGGGAGTTGGGGAAGGGGCTTGAGTTAGGGAGAAAAGAATTTCCTGGTGAGTGGGATGAAGGGGAACTATATCCTCACTTTTTAACCTTTTAAGATCTGCCTTGGGAAAAGCAAAAGGTGAGTCTTCCATGGCCTCTCACCTTAGCATGAGCTTCATAGCCTGCTCCAGGGAGGAGTTGGGGCGGAGTAACTGGCTGTAATGCAGCTGGCTTGAGTGAGCAGGGGTAGAAGAAACCTCGGGGGTCGCTGAAAATCAGAAGTCCTCCTCACCATGAGATGCTGGTGCTGAGGACAGGACGGGGTGGGGTTTGAGGGCGATGTCTGAGGGGAGGTTTACGTCAAAGGCATGAAGAGCTGTGAGGACTGGGTGGGGGGAGCTCACTTCTTTTCTGTTCTTCCGCCACCCCCAGACATTCCTGAACCCCTGGTACGAGGCCAGCCTGCTGCCCATCTATGCAGTGACTGTCTCCATGGGCCTCTGGGCCTTCTTCACAGCCGGAGGGTCCCTGCGAAGTATCCAGCGCAGCCTCTCGTGTAAGGACTGACTACCTGGACTGAGCGCCTGGCAGACCCCACCTGCCTGCCCACTGCCCATGACAGCCCACCCCAGCCCGGGTCCACTGCCCACCACGCTCTGTTTCCTTCTCATCGGCCTCCCCACCACCTTCAGGGTTTGCTTTGTCCACTCATGACCTTGGTCTCTAGGCGTCACCAGGAGCAGTCTGGGTTCAGCCAGTCAGTGACTGGTGGGTTTGAATCTGCACTTATCCCCACCACCTGGGGACCCCCTTGTGTCCAGGACTCCCTATGTGTCAGTGCTCTGCTCTCCCCCTGCCCAAGACTCACCCCCCTTCCCCTCTGCAGGCCGACGGCAGGAGGACAGTCGGGTGATGGTGTATTCTGCCCTGCGCATCCCACCCGAGGACTGAGGGCACCTGGGGGGGACCCCTGGGCCTGGGGGACCCTCCTGACCTCCTCGCTCTGTATTTCTCCATCTCCAGTTCTGGACAGTGCAGGTTGCCAAAAAAAGGGACTAGCCTAGCCTTGCCGTGGAGATGACGTGGCCAGGCTCAGGTAGTTGCGCTGAGCCCCAGGAGCCTTCCCAGACTGGACAGCTTGATCTTTTTCTCAGGTCTGAGCGGAGCTGTTTCTGGTGTGATAAAAGACCCCAAATTGCCTTTTTTTTTTTTTTTCCCAAGCGGGCTGCAGGAGGTGGAACTCCCTCCTGCCCTCCTTGGACAATACTTTCCCTCCGCCAGTCACCCATGGCTGGGCTGGTACCTGTCCGCCTGCCCCGTGGCCCGGGCCTCGGCGGCGAGGAAGGCCGTGCATGTGTGGGAACTGGCATTACTGGAACTAATGTGTTAACCTCCTTGGCCACCAGCACCTCTCCTCTCCCCAAGGTGAAGTGGAGGGTGCTGTGGTGGAGCTGGCCCCCCAGAGCTCGGTGCCCGGGCGGGAGGAGAGAGAACACCGTGCCGTCGCAGGGAAGGGGGCAGACTTTTTCTAGTTTTTAATTGGGGTGTGCGGGGGGTGGGGAGGTTTTCTATAAACTGTATCATTTTCTGCTGAGGATGGTGTGTCCCATCCTTTTAATCAAGGTGGTTGTGATTTTGACTAATAAAAAGGACTTTTTAATTGTGGGGGAACTTGGCTTCTAAGGGAGGGGATCACGTGGCAGTCTTGAGACTTCTGCTCTCTGGTGTCTCCTGTACACCCTCCTCCCTACCCCGGCCACCTCTGATCCTCACAGACAGCTTCTGTGCAAAGGCAGCAGCCTGGGCTGGGGCTCTGACGGGTCAGGTACTTAGAGGTACGCACTTTCCAGAAGGGGGTCCAGCACTGGGGTGGGAGGCACCCCTCAGCCACGCTTCTCTTTCCCTTTCCTGCGTCCGCTTCTGCCTCCTGAGGGATTAGGGAACTCTCCCAATCTTAAGGGTCCCAAAGGTAAGGCCAGAAGTGGGGTCAGAAATTTTAATTTCCAAATAGAGTGAGCAGAAAATCATAACCCCAACCATAGCAGCACTGTTTCCTAACGAGGTACTGTGCTGCATCGGGGGAAGGGGCGTAAAGGTGAGTGAGGCCTGGGGGACTCTGGGACACATCCCCAACTTCTGCAGCTACAGCCTGTCTGCGCTCTGCCCTGGGGGCCTGGGGTCTGGGCTGCAGGCGTGGAGAGGCTGAGAGCTCTCCTCCTCTCCCTAGATGGAGAGCCTGTCTGTGCCCCCCCGGGGGGCGTCCAGAGGACGGGGGCTACATGCTTCTACAGTATCCTCTGGCTGCTCTCCACAGCCCATTTTAGAAGCTCCCTGATAGGTGTGAGGGGAAGGCATCCAAGAGGGCCTCATGAGGCCTATGGCTCGGTGACTCGTCCTGAGGTGAAGACCACACTCTTCCGGTTTCCCAGGCGCTTTCTCCTGGAAGAGGGGATGGTTTGGAAATGAGCAGAGGCCTAGGTGAGCCCCACCTGCGGTGGAGCAGGGGAGTGCTTCCCCACGCAGCGGAAGGCCTGGAGCAGTAGAAAGCAGGACCTCACCTCATCTTCCTAGCGATGAGGTACACGGCCAGCAGGAGGCAGAGGCAGCCCACCAGGACCCCCACGCCCAGACTCAGCATCTCACCTGGGAGAGGAAGGCGAGGCATCAGCCAGGCTGAGGGGGTCCCGGTCCAGAGCCCTTCCCTCACCTGCTGCCCGCCCCTCCCCCAGGGCCTCCTCCGGGCTCTCACCTGTAGTGTAGAAGGACGCCTCTGGAAGGGAAGAAAACGTGGGTCAGTGGGACTTGAGGTCCCCACCTAGGTGGGAGCACACTTAGCACTGGGAGAAGCTCAGCGCTTCTGTCCCTGGAGATGCTTGGGGCGGGGCGCGTTGCCCCATCCAAGCAAGTTCTGGAAACCCCTTCTCCTAGCCTTTTCCACCCGAGGGGCTCCCTAATTCCCACTCCTGTGCCCTCAGTTTCCCATCTCCTTGTCCAAGTCCTGTAGGGTCACCTTGGATAAAAGAAGCAAGGACTGTTCGCTGGTTGAGAGGCTGGGGGGCCCGGTAGTTCTGTACCAGGGGCTCCGACGGCTCCTCTTCTGTGGAGGACAGTGTCTCCTGAAGCTTTTCCAGCTGAGTAGAAAGTGGGGTGGGCAGAGAGGTCTCACTTTGGGGAGTAGGAGGTGAACAGCTCTGCCTCTGCAGCCTCACCTCTTCACCACTCACCTGCTCCATGGAAATCTGGGCCCTTCTATTGAAGACGGTCCAGAGCACGCTCTGGTAGCAGGGGGGCGTGGTGAGGGAGCCGTTGTAGCGGAAGAACTGCCACAGCTGTGTGGGGAGCAGCTCTCTCACGTTGAAGGTGGGCACCGAGGTCTTCTGACCTGGAGGCGAGCGGGCTGTAGGCTCCTTCCTCCCCCTGGGCCTGCCTTCCCCGGGGCTCCCAGGCGCCGCGGGGCTCAACACTCAGGCCAGCTGTGGGAGTCTCCCCGAAGTCTAACCTCACATTGTTCTAAGGCAGGTTTTAGGGCTCACCTTTATGTCTGATTTCATGCAAGCGACTCAGAATGTGCTCGTAAGCTGGGTTGTCAGCCTGGCCCACCTGCAGGGGGAGGACAGGAGTGAGCAGTGAGCATCGGGGGCTGCCGCTGGCCTTGGGAGGGAGACCAGCAGCAGAGAGGGCAGAGTAGGACTGGGGGTGCCAAGGGGCGGAGAGGTGGAGGCAGGGGCTGGGGCCACCAACCTCAATGAGGACGCCCAGGACGGCCAGGCCCTGAGGCCGCTGAGCAGCCTCGCTCAGGCTGTCATAGGAGTCCGCATCATAGTGAACAACGTGGAGCTGAGGGCGAAGGCAGCTGGGTCACTGGCGGTTGTCCGCCCACCCCACCCCCCCCCCCGCCCCAACCCTGGCATGGCTACCATCAGCTCCACTGTGCTCTAAGTCAGCCCCGCAGAGTTCTGCTTTCCCCAGTTTCCAAATGCTCTCCCCGCCGACCAGCCTGCCACTGCTCGCGCCTCTGCGCCTGTTACCTCTGCAGCCACGGCCTCCCCGTTGATCTGGTGCTCCGAACCCCCCGGGAAGCCCTTCTGACCCCAGTGCAGGTGCAGCTGTGCCGCTACGTATTTCCGAGGCAGTCCCTCCAGATACAGGGCGGGGGGCAGGGAGAGCTGCACTGGAAGGAAGGAAAGCAAGCCCGGCGCTGGTGGGACGGGGCCACATGCCCAGGGCTGCCACCACTTCGGCCAGCCTCGCTTAGCCAGGGCACCCACTTCTTCCCAGAGGCGGCTGCTTTGGTAGCCCACTTTTTGCCCAGTGAAGATCAAGACGTCACCACCCGCAGGGTCTGAGCACACAAGTCGCTCCAGGCATCGGCCCCTGGGACCTCACCCCCTTATCCCATCTCCTCCTGGGAGGTCAGGAGGATGCTCTTGGCCCTGACCCCCTGGATGGGGACCGGGGCCATGTCTCCTTGAAGCTTGGGGGTCTTACCCGTGTGGCCGTTATTGTGCAGGTCCAGGGCACCAGCGCCAGGCTGCTCATAGCCACGGGGCTGCAGCATGGCCAGGTCAGGGTCAAAGGTCACACTGCCCGTCTGGATATTGATGGGGGACTGGGCTTGGCGTCCGCACTCTGGATAAGAGGCTGCCCAGTGGTCCTGACCATGGGGGCCTGGAGGGGCCACCACAGACATTTGTGCTGCCCTCCAGCCCCGTCCCCACCCCGCAGTTATACACCCTGGGGAGGTGGAAATGTCCTTCCCTCCACCCCAGATGCGGATCCCTCCTGCGGATCCCTCCTGCGGGGCTGGGGAGGCAGGAGCTCCTGCTGCACCTGACGCTGCAGCTGCCCTCTCCTCAGGGCCAGAGGTGACGCCCCAGCTCTCTCCATAAACAGGGTGTCATGGCTTTTACTCACCTGTACTTTGAGAACAAGAAAGCTGAAGGAGAGGAAGGGTGATGGCTAGAAAGCTGCAGGCGAGGTGGGACTAGAGGGGTAGGAGACTGGGGGGTGACACGATCCTACAGAGAGGGTTTCCCGGGCATCTCTGCCCCTGGGCTCAGCTTTGCTGCCCTTCCCTAGACCTTCCTACCCTCCTGCTGGGCCTTGCGTCCACTTGGAACTCAGGGGTCATTCAGCAGAAGTCAGAGGAATAGAGTTCCACCCCGCCCCCCCAGGGTCACAAACTGTCCTGCTGGCCTCCTGCTCACCCCTGACCTCATGCTCTGTCCCAGTTCCAAATGCAGGTTGTGGGGAGGCTCCATCAGGAGGGAGGGAGCCAGAAGGAGACTGGGCAGTGACGCTCAGGGCCCTCCCCCACCGTGGGCTGTCCACCCCCGTCCCTCTCCCACACGGATCCACTGTGGATTGAACTGGCAGAATCGGGGGTGACGGATCTGATAGAACAGGGTCCGGAGCCCAGGATGGAAACCCTTGGCGCGGGGTGGTAGGGGCAGGAGGACCAGGGTGAGCCGCTGCAGGAGGCCTCCCACCCACACTGCCCGAGACCTCCTGCCAGGCCACGAGGTCCCGGAGTGAAAGGGGTGTCGGGAGGCCGTGGGTTCTGCTCACCCTCATATGTCCAGTGTTGACCTGCAAAGCAGAGTAATTTGAGTTACAGCCAGTGGGGGAGGGGGCAGGGCACTCCCCACCCTCCTTCGCTCGCTCCACCTCCCGCCGCGCTCCCCTCCCTCCACTCCACCTCTTCCCAAAGGAAGGCCTGAAACTGGACACCTCGGTGGAAAGGTCGGGGGGCCTATTTAAAATCGCCAGCCGGGCTGAGGCGTGTGTTTGCCGAGTTAAGGGGGAGGAGGAATGAAAAGAGATAAAGGCCGGAGACTAAAATTAACCGGGAGCCCAGGGTGCCGTCCAGGCCCTCACTTTGCTCCCGCCGGTGCCCAGCCAGTCTCACACTTGGGAGATGGGGGGAGGGGCTGCACGGAGGGGAAGGAAGATGCGAGTGGGGGACAGTGCCCCTGAGGGGAGAAGGGGCTTTGTTCCCTGCTGGCGAGGGCATGGAGCTGCTCGTGAACAGCTCAGCTCCTCCGGGCCAGGACGGTAACTCCAGACGAGACTCCCCAGCGCCGCAGCCGCTGCCTCGCAGGTTCCCAGAGGCTGGGGAAGGCCCAGGCAGGGGCCAGCCTGCGTGGGGGGTGGTGGGTGGGCACGGGCAGCGGGCTGGCAGGGAAAGGATGAAAACGAAGCATTGTCTGTGAGAAAGAGCTGCCAGCACGGTCACATGCGGTCCCCATGCGGCTAGTGTCTGGCTAAGAGGCCGCGTCTGCTGGGGTCTGCCGGCCCCCGAGCCGGGGCCAGGGTGTTTCAAGGGGAAAGGAAGGTCTTACAGATTTTCCCTCATGACTCAAATTGCTAGAAACTTTGGAGGAAAATGCTAAATTCTTGCTCTCCCTTTGTCACTCCCTTAAGTTCCGGACTTCCAAAGTGGCCTGGTCCGTCCTGCTGGCCAGCCCTGGGGTCAGGCAGCTCTGAAAAGCCGTCCGAGGCAGGGCTGGGCAGCTTCTCACAGGCCAGCTCCATGGACCCAACTTGACTTTCCTGCTTCTTGCAAGCTGAGCCTGGCCTGTTTCCCTCCCACCAAATCCTCATGAAAGGCTGCACCTCTTCCTCCATTTTTCCCCCTTTCTCATCAGATGCGATTTGCAACTCTCCATTCCCCAGGCCCAATCTTCTCCACACGCGCCTTCTGCTCTCCAGCACCCTTCTCACCCTGTTCTCCCTACAACTCAGTTACACACCTACTGGGTGCTGGATACTGCTCCAGGCACAGGAAACAGAAATAAGAGGCTGGCTTTGGGGGACACTCCTGGGGCGTCTCGGCCTATCCCTCCTGTCCCTCATCTCCTGGGAACTCCTGAGAGGACCCTACAAACGTCTACTGCTTTCAGAGAAAAACTGGGAAATTAGTGGCTGCACAGAATCCAAGGGGCCTGGGCCATGAGGTTCACACTGTGTCCAGGGCCCGAGCTGGCAGGAGGTAGTGGCCCCCTTCGCACCTCCAGGCTTCACCGCTACTTGGGAGAGTTGGAAGTAAAGGAGGCCGGGAGGGCGGCCTGGCACTGGGTGGTGGGGAGAGGACTCTGGAGAGAATCTGCAGCCGGCGCAGAGATTCCAGGCACTCCACACTGCCCCCCTGCCGGCTGCGTCTCCCCACCCCACCACCAGCGCGGCCGGGAAGGCCAAGAGGAGAGAAGGGAAGAGGTCTCCTCTCTCCTCTTGCCCTCCAGCCCCTGGGCCTCCCTTACACTCCCCACCCCCATTCAGCACGCCGGGCGACCTGCGGACGGGGACACAGACAGACGCACAGACACCCAGAGGTACCTACCCCCGTCTGCAGCCAGGATCCAAATCCCCTCTAGCAGGAGGGTGAAGACCAGCATAGCGCCCCGGGAAGAAGCAGAAGGTGCGGGAGCGAGGACGAGGGCTGGGGGCCGGGGCGGGCAGGGGAGACTGGGGGGCTTCCAGGACCTGAGCGTGCCGCTCCTCCCCTGCTCTCTGGCCCTGCCCGCTTCCAGGGGACCTGGTTTTCAGGAGGGCGCCCTGGGCTTCTGGGTCCCCGGGACAATTCTCCCCCTGCCTCTCCCTCAGCCCTCCTTCTATCTCCCGCTGTCTTCCCTCCGCTTGCTGGCCGGCAGCTTCGCAATCACCGCCCGCTTTTAAGGTGGCTCTGGACGGGTGCGCGTGGGGAGGGGGGGCGGCCGGGCTGCAGCCGCACAGCTCCTTAAATAGCCCATTAGCCATGCAGGCCGCCGCGGGAGCGCGGGGCTCCTCTGGGGCGCTGGCCGCGGCTCAGGAGACAGCTGGGGCAGCTCTTCCTTCCTCTGCTGCTCGGACTCCGTTCACAGAGGGTCCCTGGGGCGCCCAGCGCCGCGAAGGGGGGCTTTGGGGTCCAGTCCAGGCCTCCTCAGGGGAACGCGGGTTCTCATTCCCGCCTGCCTCTCCGAGCAGCGGGTCCCCGGGCGGCTGGGGCGGGCTGCGCGCACCCTGCAGAATGTGCGCTGCGCTACAACAGGAGGGTCGGCAGCTAGGGAATGGGTAACAGGAGTTGGGGATTGGGGTGCAGGGGGGGCAGGACGTCAAGGAGGAAACCCTGGATTGTGGAGAGTAAGAGAGCGCCGCGCGGGGAGGCCGGCTCGCAGCGGCCCTTCTCCTGGCCGTCACCACCCCCTGCCCGCGGCGGCCGGTCCACGTGCTGGGCGGCCGGGTGGGGGGTGGCTTGTTTGCTGGATAAAGCCCGTTTGTGTGCCCAGCGGGGGAGGGGCGGCGGCGGCACCACGGAGGGACGGCGGCTCCAGCTGCCAGCCGCGGGCACCTCCCTCCCCGGGGAGCGCAGATCTGGGGCGGCTTTTGTCACCGAAGAGGACACTGACCCCTGGCAGGGAGGCCGGAGGCTGGGAGACAATCACTGCGCCCTCAGAAAAGGTGGACTCCGGGCAAGGGGCGGGCGCGGAGACCACGTGACGCCGGTGGACGCGGGCCCGGGTCTCCCCGGGAGCGGCCGACCCCGCCGCCGGCGCGCAGAGGAGGCCCGGGCTCCGGAATGTGGGCTGCTGCCTGCGCCCCGCGGGGCTGGAAATCCCGGCTGGAATGTGCGTCCCAAATCCCGCCTCCGAGGGCGCGAAGCCCGCGGGTCAGCGCGGCCGCACGCGCAGCCCTCGCTGCGGGCCGCTCGTCCCGGCGCGGGCGCCGTCGGGGCCTCTGCGCGCGCCCGGGCCCGGCGCCGTCCGCCGGGGTGAGAGACGGGGCTGGGGTGGGGTGAGCGCCCGGCGGCCGGAATAGCGGGGTGCCCGGCCCGCAGAGCCCGGAGCCCGCGGTGCCCCGACCCGGGTCCTTCCTTTTAACTTCTCCATCGCGTTTCCAAGCACTTTTCCCTCGCGGGCGAAGCTCTGCGCTTGAGGTTCCCGAAAGCCCCGCCGGGCCCATCGACGGTCAGGGGCTCCAGGTGCGGCTCCGATCCCCCGGGGGCGGGCCGGACCCGGGACGCCAGGGCCGCGCTCAGGCCGCGGCGGGGCGGGAAGCGGGCGGGGCAGGGTGACCCCGTGGGGACGCGGCCCCGCGCCCCTGCGCCCCTTTGCCCCCGCGCCCCTTTGCCCCCGCGCCCCGCGGGCCAGGTGCGCGCCCTCTCCTGGCTCGCCCACGAATTTTAAGTTCAGACAACTTCAAAGTGTTCCACGCCGAGGCCGAGTCCTCCGGGGCAAACGCCTCCGCGGTGGGCTGGGGACCCGGGGCTCCCGGCCGAGGCCTCCCGGCCCGCGCTCCTGGCACCGGCCTGGTTTGGCTCCCACTTTACTGCGGAGGGTCCCCGCGGCCACGCTGGTTTGGAGGCGGCGTCGAGAGCGCCCTTCTACGGTCTTTAAAGGAAAAAAAGGGCCCCACCCTCGTTTCCACTCGAACCCCAGAACCTTTGTTTGAGAGCCGGCTTCTCCCACGCTGCGCGCCCCGCGCCCCGCCCGAGTCCCGGCCCGCGCGGCCCCGGGCGCCACCTGCCGGCCCTCCAGGTGGGCGCAGCGCGGACGGGTCAGGGGCCGACCGCGGCGGCCACTCTTCAAAAGGTCATTTTAAAAAAGATCTGGGCCTCCCCGGTGGCGCAAGGGGTTAAGCACCGCACTATGAAACAATCCGCAGCCTCTGTAGCACGGGTTCGATCCCCGGGCAGGGAGCTCCCCACACGGCGCGGCAGACCTCTCCTGTCTCCCCGCTGCTCCCCTCAGCAGTGGATTTCAGTCAGTCTGCCTGTTCTGTTCCCCACTCTGTCTCTGGTGAATCCTCTCACCCTTCCTACCCCCGCATCTCTGGTCTGTACCCCAGCTCTTGCATGCATAAATAAATCTTTAAAAAATAAACAAAAAATAAAAAAGATCTTAAACCTCACTCGCTGAAAATCACTCCACAGAAAGCTCCTAAGTACCCCGAGTTTGTGTGGTGAGGTATATCAGTGAGGAAGGGCAGATGGAGAGGAAGAACGTGGTCACCGTGAGAAGGGGACCCCAGGAGACAGAATTAAATGGACTTTGAGTCTCCAAAACAGCAAGGACCTCATGCCATAGCCCTGTGGTAAGGTGGACCGAGAGATGTCCCATCTGTGAGGTGCTCCACGGATTCTCACGCGCTGTCCTCGGATACATGGCAAGCCCCTTAAGCAAAAACCAAAACATTTGAGAATAAAGTCAAGATAATTTTGGGAAGAGGGTGGTTACAACTCTTGGGGTTATTCACTTGTTTTTCCAGTTCACGTTGCACAGCACGTGCAGCAGAAGGACCTTGTAGACAGAAGTCAGGTAACAGGTGCGGTCCACATGTTGCTGGAATTGTCGAGAAGAATTGTGACCACCGTGTACCACACACTGACCCCAGGCCCACGATTGCCCTGCACTCACGGAGGCGGGTCGAGGCCCAGGTGGTGCCGACGCTGTGGTCTGAGGGCCGATGCTATGGTCTGAGGGCCGATGCTTGGGGCCCAATGCCCCACTGCAGAGCCGGGTCGCAGGGAGTCTGCCTCGCACTGCAGGGATCCCAGCCTTCTGGAGTTGTCCCTTGCAGTCGCATTTGCAGGGGTTAGCAGCAGTTCCTTCTGTGGTTTACAGACACACAGGGGAACCTGCACCTGCTAGGCCCCTTGCTGCGATTAAAAAAAAAAATTGTGAGACAAAATTCCCTAGGACCTCACAGTCTCTTAGGGGATGCTACCTTACCCGGTTATCCCAATGCAATGGCTGAGCAAAGAGCTATGGGAGCCAGGGGTGAGCAATTAGCGGTGCGATTTCTTTTCTTTTCTTTTTTTGTGGTGCGATTTCTTTACCTGATACAACAATCTTTCCACTGGGTGGGAGCAGAACCAGGTCCCAGAGTCACATGTAAGAACATAAAAGCCACTGCTCCAAGGCAGGCAGACCCACACTTCTCGGTCTCTGGGGGTGACACCAAAAGATAGGCTATGTCCAGGCATGATTTCATACACTTAATGTGTTTAATGAACTGCTTCCTCTGCTGGGAGCTAGGAAAAAGGATCAAACGGGCCCTGGAATTGTAACTGTTCCATCTATCGTGGCCAGGTCACCCTGCCTCTCTCCTCTCTTGCCTTCTAATTCTCTGCCATTCATTTGACTCAAATGAAGTCCCTGCACCAACCCGAGTGAAAGAGTAACACTTCTATCACTTCCCTTCCATGGTGAGAAGCTTTCTAGCTAACGGGAGTGTTTTTCTTTGTTTTTGAAGACACTGGTATGTCTGAATCCCTATAGGAATACAAGTCAGAAGATAATACAGCAAAATCTGTGACAATGAGTAGCTTAATAATGCCTTAAGTCATCCCCCCCATGAGCAGTCTGTCCTCAGATGCTGTGTGACAATGATCTGGATTTCTTTGAACCACTATAGGGAAAGAGCTTGTAGCGCCTGGTGGACACATTAGTTGCTTTCAAAACAATCCAGTTTTTAACAGGATGTTTGAGTCTTGAAAGGTAGAGACTTGGCTGAGGTTACATAAATATCACTAACACAAAAAAATCAGGCTCTGACTAATCCCATGCTCAAAATGTGTTAAGATACTTAAAAAAAAAACCAAAAAACCAGAAAACGGAAATAAACACCTTTAAAGAAAGTAGAGGACATTTTTAGTTCCGGTGGCTGCAGCCTCTGATAATTCCTTGCAGTCAGAGGCAGAAATCCTAATGCAGAAATCATACCGGATGGTCTCACTCATAGCAGGAATCTAGAAAACTTAAATAAGGGACCAGGAAAAAGACTAACTATAAGAAAGAAAATATCAAAATCAACAAACAACTATGAACCAGAGACACTCTATGGGGGGTGAGGGGCGGAGAAAGGAGGGTTGAGGTCAAAATAAGGGGGTTGTAATTGTATGGGGAATATAAAAATAAAATTTAAATAAAAAAAATAAAAACAAAAACAAATGCAGAAATCAAAAAACATTTAAAATTTTTATTTATGCATACCAGAGCTGGGGTGCAGGCCAGAGGTGTGGGGTGTGTGTGTGAGAGAGGACTCACTAGAGACACAGTGGGGAGCAGAACAGGCAGAGCCACAGAAATACACTGTTGAGGGGGGCAGCGGGGAGATGAGAGGTCTGCTGTGCCATGTGGGTCAGCTCCCTGGCCGGGTATCGAACTTATGTTGCAGAGGCTGCAGATAGCTTTATAGTGCTGAAGCTTAACCCCTTGTGCCATCAGGGAGGCCCTCAGAATATTCTTGTCCATATATATACTTACACACTTGTCCAACTGTTTGCACGATTAGAGGTCCAAGAAGGTGTAGACTTTTAAAAAGACTTAAAATTAAAATAGACTTGTAGGGCCACCCTGCTGGTACAAGAGGTTAAGCACACCACTATGAAGTAGTCCACAGCCTCTGTAGCAGGAGTTCGATGCCTGGCTGGCCAGGGAGCAAGCCACACGGCACAGCAGACCTCTCCTACCTCATTTGTTGCTCCCCTCAGCAGTGTACTTTGGTCAGTCTGCCTGTTCTGCTCCCCACTCTGTCTCTGGTGAATCCTCTCATCCCCCGCCCCACCTCTGGCCTCTACCCCAGCTCTTGTATGCATAAATAAATAAATCTTTAA